TCCTGGAATTGAGTAAAAAAAAGAGTATTTATACATTTGCAACTAGCTTGTAGAATTAGTGATGATAGAGAGCAATAGGTGTTGCTATTATTGCGATATCTGGCAAATGTTATTGATGTTTGATTTAAAGTGGTAATCAATGTGAAAGCATTGGCCATAAGGTTCGATTTGACTAACCTTGATGGGCTTAGATGAGCTATCGTCATAGCATGATTTAATGTGACCTTGACAGTTTAAGGTGTGATGTTTGTTATTAGAGTGTAGAGCCCATTATGTAGGGCATTGTGCAACTATGGAATCAGGGCATAATAGTTGTCATACTTGAATATGCTTTTTATTGGTTTTATTTTATTCGTACAGCAAAGATAACTTCCCTTATTACGACCATCACTATGAGTGTGATGGAATACACTGTGATCAAGAGTGATCCATTCACAAGATGTACAAGATAAGTATGCATCTTTACTTTTTTTTTAGTATGTTTATATGGTTGTTGATGTACATTTAAGTGCTTTTATTAAAAGATCCAAATAGCATGAATTTGAATGAGTGCTATTTGATGAATTATGGTTATCAATCAAGTTGCATTTGGGTGGCTATTTCATTACACCACAGATGTAGAACATCAGATACATCAGAAAAAGCATTAGTTTATTTACTTCTTTGTCAACGCAACCCATTACGCCGTCGTTTTAGGTTGAATTCTGTTCAAATCTAGCCATTTTCAAGCACGAATAACTCATGCCACAAAGCGTTTTGAGTGCTTGGAATAGCACCACACACCTCCTCTTGGCTGCGCTTTACTTACTGATGCTTTATCTCAATATTTTTCGGGTCGTCGCAAATTCATGAAAACCATCGTTTTTCTATGAGTATTAGCAAGGGAAGATTCTTGAATATTAAATGATCGCGTTTTTCACCTTAAAAATGAAGACTTTTTCTATGATACATATTAGATCAAATTGATCGTAAAAATGAAATGCAACATTGGAAACTCTTTCTATGAGACTTGCAAATGCTAAATTTTGACATAATCACAGAAAACCTGTTTTCATATTTTTGGAAATTGCTCATTATTTTTGGTCTGAAAGCTGAAAGTGATCAGCACCGTTTGATGCGGCTTCTTTAGTTCTCTAGAGATGTATTAAAAAGTTGGGTGTGATAACGACAGTTTTCATAGTCATATTTAACAAAAACGTTAAAAGGATGTGAGATTAAGTCAAATTTGAGCACGAAAATAACCACTGCACAGTTTCAAATTAAATTGCCGCAGTTACAGCTGCTACGACAGAAGACTGATACCAAATCTACTGGTCGTGACGTCGGATAGAGCGCCCTCTCATTTTCCCATACACTCGTTTTTTTTCCCTTTTTGCAAAACGCGTTTAGTATCAAACCATGGAGGTTTTGGAAACCGTTTCATTGATAATACCACTCTAGCTTCTGATAACGCTGTATTATTGTACTTTGAGAAAGACTTGGCGCCTCTTTTTTAACGTAGAATATATTAGGTACTATTCGATAACGAGCATTGAAAGGCGTAGAATTAACACTAATTGAATTTGTTTATTAGGTTTTGATAGTTTTTTTGCTTATTTGACGTGGGTACTGCTGCCATTACTTCTTTGGTATCTCTGCTGCCTGCGGCTTTGGTTTATCATGTCTGGCGGTTGCTTCTTTGGTATTTGTTTGGTCTCTGCTGGTGGCGTTCGTTCTCTGGTTTTTCTATTGTGCTGGTGTTGCTGCCGCTGCTGCTAATATGGTCTTTCCTGGTCTACTCTCTTTGGTGCATGCTCATTCTCTGGTTTATATCTGGTGATTGAGTATACTCTTATGGCCTACCTGTGATGGTGATAAGAGGTAAGTAGCTTCTTTTGTCTTTGTCTACTCTCTGCTGATGGCGTTCATTCTTTAGTTTTTCTATGATGCTGGTGTTGCTGCTGCTGCTTCTGCTGCTAATATGGTCTTTTCTGGTCTACTGTATTTGGTGCATGATTATCCTCTGGTCTGTCTCCAATGATTGCCTATACTCTTCTGGTCTATCTGTGGCTGTGGTACGTGGTAAGTATCTTCTTTCTTCTGGTCGCAATGATATGAAACTTCTTTGAACGCTTATATCCTTGCTTCCTTTCTTGTGATAATGCATTCATGACGTTTGCCTTGTTGCGACTTTTTCTTCTTTTTTTCTTTTGTTGGTAGTGTTTCCTCTGTAGCTTTACATGAAACAATATTAGTCATTATGTTGTATCGCGAACTTATAATGCCACTGTTGCTTTTGCAGCTGTGCGTATTTGTGTCATCATGTTGCTTTACATTCGACTATTACTACCATGCGCGTTGCTCATGGTTGCATTTTTATTGCAACAACAACGAGCTTTTTTAAACATCTTTGATGTTGTATTTGTTATGCTCTTCTTTGACTCGCTTCGTGTAAGTGTCTCTTTTTTTTTATCTACATACTACTATACTCTTGTAGTGTTATGTTCATTTGTTCCTTTGATTATGTTTCTTTGAAGCATACCTTTTTTTTTCGTTGTGTGGATGTGCCTATCCCTGAAGCTCAACAAGACTTTATCCGAAGCTAGGAGGTAGATAGGCTGCCTCCACTTGATTATCACTACTTACTTTAGTGATGATTGAGAGCCTCAATGCCAGAATCTAAAGCTAGGTGGTGTAAGTAAGGCATACTCTAGCACCTGGGGGAAGTTTGATGATAGCAACGGCTATATTGCTATATATAGCGGCGCTTAAAATTTTGCCTCACACCAAAACAGGGGGGAACCCTCGCAAATTTTTTTTTAGGTCAGCGGAGTTTTCAAGCAATCTGATTGGCTCAGAGGTTGAAGTAGCAAAGGGTTACAACTAGTTGATTTCAGATTGATGTCATGTATTATAACTTTGTGTTTGTAATAAAAGGTTATCTAAATAGATATAATTTAAATTCTTCCTTATTTAAAAGTAAGATAAGGTTCAATCATTTGATTTAGCATTCATTAAAAAGTTTAATATGAGGAGTTTTCTTTTTAAAAATTTATTTTACGTGGGGAATTTATAATTTACTTATTATGACTGATTTTTGCATTTGGTTTGTGTTGGATGGGCATTACATTTTATGAGACTTTCGCCTACTATTATTTCTGTAGTACATCATATTGGCCGTGCGTAATAACTGACCACATATCAACCTTGTTGTAAGCATTAATTATAAGGTACATTTATCCCTTACAGCAATCTGATTTAAGCAAACCAAACGCTGTTAGTATTATCTGGTACGTACGTGAGAATGGATGTAGGTTTATTCAGTAAGAATCAGATGAAGAGGAAAGGGAGGAGTGAAAGTCTACTGCAATTTATATGTATGATTTATGGATTGCTTACGCACCCGTCTAGAATGGTGTTCTCATGCTAAGTTTTAGTGTCAATTCTCATGCTAAATGGTAGTTATTTCAGATATAGATGATCAGTCTAATTTAAATATCTTAAGTTGCTCTTGGCAACGTTAATTACTTACATTCCTTATCTGCTATATTTTTACATATAAATAATAGCTTACTGAAACTTAGCTTATGTGAATATCATGGTTATCGTTTACTTGTTGATACAGTATATTTACATATGCTCCATATGTTGTGCATAATTTATTATTGAATTCAAACTACGATATTGTGATTCAGGAACAGTTATATGTGTGAATACAACACCAAACCAAATGCAACGGATGACAATTTATGGGCAACAGGATATGTCTTTAGGTTGGCATGTATACAACTGGTGACCGCAATCCAAATGTCACTGTGCAAGAAAGAAATACGTAGTCTGGTGACTATGAGCCAAACTGTGTTCATAAAGCATTCACGTATTATGATGAGGCCAACATACTATCAATCGAAGTTACCTCGAGAGGTTGTCACTCATCTCATTTTCAATTTTGGATTGACCATGACAAAGGCTTTAGCCTATGCTGGCTTATGTAATGAACAAAGTGAATCAATAGGAAAATGTGATCATAGCATCCATTTTCGTCAAAACAATGCTACGAAATCAAGTGGGCATATCTGGTTTGCAGACTTTACTAAGCTGATATCCGAAGCTTTTGCCAAATATCGCGATAGAATAATTTGCAGGCCCAATTTATCGATTTATTAATATCCCAACATAAACAGGTGTTACTATTACAGACATCGAAGAGTGCATGATCAGCTCAACGTGTGATTAAAATACATAATACTTATGTCATAGAGGCAGTAAATAGATTTCAGTATTCTTGGTAAACAGGTTGTCCAGAAGATGTGCAACTGGGAATATTAAAATAAAGATATGAAAATGCAAGGCTTTTCAGGTATTAAACTTGCGAAAACAGAGTGTTTCCACAAATGATGACACAAATTTAAACATATTTTTATCAATTAAGTAACAATCATGGTATCATATCGTCCAAAAAGACAATGAGTTCACATTTAGTAACATGCAGCGTGTCATTTGCTTCAATTTAAAATGATCTCAATTGAAAAAACGGTCCATACAGACATACTGCATATCTTTTGCATGAGTGTATAATCATAAATCTATAATTTTATCATTTGTATAATGTCAAGTTGTACACTGTGCACCATCGAGCCAAGCAATTGGGTTCCTCGATTGTATTCGAATTGACAACCTATCTATTATTAATTCCTGGCATGTTATGGTGTCATCAGGTCACTTTGTATCATTTAAACAAGATTTCAATGACAAAAATGAGCTCATTCGCATCATACAACACACATTTGTAATGTACCTTCTGCTCGACGTATGGTGCCACTTGTCAGCAGTAATCTGATAATTGAAATAGCCCTCAATACATCAGTATACCGTCATTTTCAATGACTTTTTGTAACCATTGAGATGAATAGCATAAGTTTTTATTTCAAGGAAAAGAAAGGGTTGAGGATATAAAGTAGTAGGTAATATTACCATAAATAAACATGTATTTACAATAATGTTGTTTGTAAGAAAGAATGCTATATAGTGTCTTCTGTGTCGCTCTCGCAGTCAAACAAAATGTCACCGCTTTCTATGGAATCACTTGCACTGTCATTGTCTTGCTGGTGTAAAGACCGAGTTTTGCGGTTGTTGCCATCATGTGGTAAAGTAAAGGATGCTGGCCAGGGCGCAGGTGGTCTGTCCATCAAACTTCCCACAGTAAAAGTAGACTTTCTACTTTGAGCAACTTGCTTTTGGCTTTGTGTTGCTTGGGCAACAGAAATCATGGGCTGTCTTTTAGTGTAGTCAGTATCAAATAGCGTAGCAAAGTTATTCATAGTGTATGGAAAAGTTGTTGGTGCACTGTCTACTCTTTTCTTTCTTTTGTTATGACGAGATCTATAAGCATCTGATGCCCCTGGTATCCAGATAGGCTGGGCTCTACTATAATGCATGAGAGACTCATCGGATGATGCTGCGGTTGTGGTGTCAGTAAGAAGCTCTTGCTCATTTATCTCGGACAAATACATGTCTTGAAAGTATCTCTCTAATGGCGAGGTAGTGAGATCCAAAGGAATATTTCTGTAATGCGGATGTGCACTTCCAGTGGTGAAATCGTTGGGGTCTTTATTATCAACGGATGACATTCTTTATATGCTTGTTCTAATTTGTGTGTGTATAAATGGTATGTTGTGTATGTATAGTAATTGATATATGTAAATAGATGTGTGCGGATGCTAAGCTGAATGTTTATTGCGTAGCATTAATAGAAAAAAAAAGAGATAAAGACAGAGAGAAAACTTGGCTTATTTATACTAAATCAGGACATCATGATGTGAGGCTTCGACATTGAATATGCTGCCAATGTTACATGGCATCAGAGCAGTAACAGATTTCTATTGTTGTTGTTTTTATCATAATTCATATTACACAAATAATTGCTTTATAAAGCCAATAGTGATCTACTGTGTAATTTTGTACCACTAGATGACTTGTGTAGGACAATACTGGACAATAAAACCTGTGCAAAACGAATAATTATAGCATCAAATACGCAGAGCATTGTAATTTGGCATCTGCTCGTCAGTCGAATTGCATTGGCAATTTCAGTGGGATGCACGTCCTGGAATTCTTGAAGTATTTGGTCCATGTATCTACGACATTGCATCACATTGTTATCAACAACAAAACGTGAAATAGATGATGTGTTGTCAGATACTGAAAATGTGCGATCAACGCCGATACATCAGCATCCTTAAACGCCTGAATTTGTGTTCATTGACTACATTTTCTCTATTGGAAAAGGTCATTTGTTCGTAAACAATTTGTCACAGGTCGTCTTTCTGAACAAAAATCAATGATAATTGTCTGTTTTGCGATACACGTGGTACGATGCCCTCATTTCTTATAATTGTAGAAAGATACAGACAAACACAAGAATTCAGGTTGAGAATAACCGTGCCTTTGTTACCAATAGACTGAAATGATGGTCAGGCTCGTATTTATAAGGAGAAAGCGCAATCTTTCAGTCAGGTAATCAGCGGTGATATGAGAATCGGTCTAAGCTCGTTCTATGGCATCACATTTTCAACCTGTTGCTGGTTTAGCATGCATAATAGCACACAATGCTTGGATATTGTGTTGCGTGTCGACTGTTTTCGATTTTTGAGCTTTGCTACGACTTAAATTCATCTGAAGAATCGGATAGATAGTATACAGTACTTAAATAAGTCGTTTAGGTACTTGTATTTTCGAATTGCTGGACAATTGTGGTTCAATCAACGCCACTTGAGAACATTCGCTTATCTTGCATATGATTACTGCTATGAGAAAATATTTGCTGCCGTTTTGTTTATACATAATGCTTTAAGCGGTCAAGCCCGAATTTTATAGTAAGCAGCATATACAGACAAATGTTGTCTGGAGGCGGAGCGATTGTATCAACTGGGCGCCTTATGGTATTCGTGATGTTCTCGTTGTTTTTGGGCGGCTATAGCCATATTTAACTCTTTTATATATATATATATATATATATATATATATCCAAGCCAAATGTACATTTCGAAATCACATGTGTTTTGTTTGCAATGACGGCCCAGTTTGTGTGCCTTATGTGTGTGTGTCTATTACTCGGAATCATTGGTAGCCTGCCGCCCCATCTCTGAAATCAAGGCACATTCAGGCACAAGCAGCATTGTATGACATTTTGTATAGTGGGCATACATCCAGGAGTACTATCAACATTGCTTCATTTTGTTTCGTGAGCGAGCATGGCGTGCTCTAATGCTCCCTGCTGTTCCTCCAGCAATGGTTCAAGCGTCATACCGAGTAAATGTACTTCAAATGTTGTTGATATGCATTGAAATGAAAACGGTACCTGGATTATGTCCCGAGCAAATACTGCACCAGAATCCAAGCAAACAAACAAACAAACAGGTATGCAAGTTTCTTTATACTCTTGAGTGACACGAGACCTTTCATTGTATCCAGCATCTGGTTGACTCGCAAATAAATTGAACATCAGGAACCATGTTTCCTCCTGTTTCACCCAGTCAGAAAGCCAAACAGTCTATTGGAATTCTACCACTTTCTTTTGATTTCCAAACTTGTCACAAAATTTTTGATTTGCACTTTATACTTTGCTACTTTTCTGATCAAAAGTTTTTCTTTCTCTTCTTCATCTATCTTTTGTATATTTGAAAATGTCTGAAGGAAAGTCTGGTAAGTTTATCTCGAGCCGTTAGAGCATACAAGTCCAATTGATCTAATAAACACATCCTTAAAGTTGGTATTGATTTGGGTACTACGTAAGTAACATCTACCGCGCCCGCGTGTATGTATCTCGAGGCATCAGCTCACATCTCTTTTCTTTGTAGCTATTCTTGTGTCGGTGTCTGGCAAAACGATCGTGTCGAGATCATTGCTAACGATCAAGGTAACCGTACCACCCCCTCTTATGTTGGTTTCACCGACTCTGAGCGTCTCATTGGTGATGCCGCCAAGAACCAAGTTGCCATGAACCCCTACAACACTGTCTTTGATGCCAAGCGTTTGATCGGTCGTCGTTTCGCTGATGCTGAAGTCCAAGCTGATATGAAGCACTGGCCTTTCAAGGTCATTGACAAGGAGCAAAAGCCCATCATTCAAGTTGAATACAAGGGTGAGACCAAGACTTTCACTCCCGAAGAAATCTCTGCCATGATCCTCGTCAAGATGAAGGAAACCGCTGAGGCCTATTTGGGTGGCACCGTCAAGAACGCTGTCATCACTGTCCCTGCCTACTTCAACGATAGTAAGTTTCACATTCATCTATGTGTGCTTGGGCGCGAAATTGCATAGTACGAGTGATACTTATGGCGCTTACATTTGATAGGTCAACGTCAAGCTACCAAGGATGCTGGTTTGATTTCCGGTATGAACGTTCAACGTATCATCAACGAGCCTACTGCCGCTGCCATTGCCTATGGTTTGGACAAGAAGGTCGAAGGTGAGCGCAACGTCTTGATTTTCGATTTGGGTGGAGGTACCTTTGATGTCTCTCTCTTGACCATTGAAGATGGTATCTTTGAAGTCAAGGCTACTGCTGGTGATACTCACTTGGGTGGTGAAGATTTCGATAACCGTCTCGTTTCTCATTTCATGCAAGAATTCAAGCGTAAGTTCAAGAAGGATATCACTGGTAACGCCCGTGCTGTTCGTCGTCTCCGTACTGCTTGTGAGCGTGCTAAGCGTACCTTGTCTTCTGCTGCTCAAACCACCATCGAAATTGATTCTCTCTTCGAGGGTGTTGATTTCTACACTTCTTTGACCCGTGCTCGTTTCGAGGAATTGAATCAAGATCTCTTCCGTAACACCATGGATCCCGTTGAGAAGGTCCTCCGTGATTCCAAGATCGATAAGGGTTCCGTCCACGATATCGTTCTCGTTGGTGGTTCCACTCGTATTCCCAAGGTCCAAAAGATGGTTTCTGACTTCTTCAACGGTAAGGAACCCAACAAGTCCATCAACCCTGATGAGGCTGTTGCCTATGGTGCTGCTGTCCAAGCTGCCATTCTCTCTGGTGATACCTCTGAGAAGACTCAAGATCTCCTTCTCTTGGATGTTGCTCCTCTTTCTCTCGGTATTGAGACCGCTGGTGGTGTCATGACCGCTTTGATCAAGCGTAACACTACTGTCCCAACCAAGAAGTCTGAAATCTTCTCTACTTATGCTGATAACCAACCCGGTGTCCTTATTCAAGTCTTTGAAGGTGAGCGTGCCCGTACCAAGGATAACAACATTCTCGGTAAGTTTGAGCTCTCCGGTATTCCTCCTGCTCCTCGTGGTGTTCCTCAAATCGAAGTTACTTTTGATGTTGATGCCAACGGTATCTTGAACGTCTCTGCTCTCGATAAGACCACTGGTAAGTCCAACAAGATTACCATTACCAACGACAAGGGTCGTCTCTCCAAGGAAGATATTGAGCGTATGGTCAACGATGCTGAAAAGTACAAGGCTGAAGATGAGGAGGCTGCTGCCCGTATCCAAGCCAAGAACGGTCTTGAGTCTTATGCTTACAACCTTCGTAACACCCTTCAAGAGGAGAAGGTTGCCTCTGCTCTTGCTGAGGATGATAAGACCACTCTCAAGAACGCCGTTGATGAGGCCATCAAGTGGTTGGATGAATCCCACGAAGCCTCCAAGGAGGAATACGAGTCCAAGCAAAAGGAACTTGAGGAGGTTGCTAACCCCATCATGATGAAGTTCTACCAAGCCAACGGTGGTGCTGAAGGTGCTGCTCCCGGTGGTATGCCTGGCGCTGCTCCCGGTGGTTTCCCTGCTGGTTCCACTGCTGAGACTGATGGTCCTAGCATCGAGGAAGTCGATTAAATTATCAAAACATAGACGTTATTCCAAAATCATGTGTAGACATTTCCCACTTAGATATGATATACAGTAGTAATTAATCCCACAAAAAAAAACTATAGAGAAAAACTAGAATAAATGTATGATATTTTTTCTTTTTTGTTTTGTCATAAACAAAAATACTACAAATACAAACTGAAGGGCCTTTTTTATTGATGGATAGAAACAGCACTCAATCCTAATTAATGCTGGATACTCGATTTTCAACTGCGAAATTCCGTCGCCTACTATAAAATGTGCATGTAACATGATTTTGTAGTCTTTATTTCCTTTTCGTTTGTATACATACTTTTTTAATATTCTTAGAGTCATTGCCATGGCAGAGGAATACTTGATTACTGACGACTTGATGATACAAAGCTATGCCGAGCAAAGCGCAGTACTGATTGTGATCAGTCCTTCACAGCAACCCGTCGAGATTCAAGATGGCTTGCTAAAGCTAATTTCTCATGCCCCTCATGGAAACTTGGTCAGTGAAGATGCAATGGACGACGATTCGAGTGAGTTCAAGTGGCATGTCAAGTAAGTAGAGGGCCTAGTGAATCCTACGCATCCAGTAACCATTGCCAACCAGTTTTATATACGATCCATCATTACGTGAAGGGGAGTACACCTCGGCTAGCAACTACAACAACTACGGAGATGTAGCTCCTGGCGATAAATTTGAAGTCCAAGTACGATTTCACAGAAAAATAGACGGTAAATATTGCGCTTTGTTTTGTTAGTGTGGATCTAAAGAGGCTAAATGATGCCAAATTTAGCTTTTAGAGCCCTGGGAAGATTGCTTGGAAGTGCTAGGGATTTCATGATTTTGACGGGCATTCATGGCGATCTGGTCAATTTCTCTGAAAAGGCACAATTCGACACTCAAGGGTAAAAGCAAGCAATGCGTTGAGAATACAGATATGCTGATATTGCAAACGTATAGCGTCATGGTGGATTGCAGTCGTGGCGGTGTGTTGCGTCCAAAAACGGTCTACTTTTTGCTCAACAACATGGCATTGATGGGGCTCAACATGCTGCAGCTGTATACCGAGGATACGTATGAGATGGACGGAGAGCCCATGTTTGGCTATCTTCGAGGAAAATACACGACACGAGAGCTATCTATGATTGACGATTATGCATTTGATCTGTAAGCTGCCAAATGTTACCGTTGATTGGACATTGAAACTGACTATATTGTAGTGGCATTGAAGTCATGCCCTGTATTCAGACATTAGGCCACATGGGACAGGTACTGCAATGGCAACAGTATGCCTATTTGAGAGACAATACCGAAGTTTTACTTGCGGAATCAGAGCCGACGTATGATTTCATCGAGAAAATGATACAGACAGCCACTAGACCCTTCCGGTCCAAACGAATTCACATCGGAATGGACGAAGCGCATGGTGTGGGTGAAGGTCGTTATAGACAAATGTTTGGATACAAAGACTCTACACAGCTGTTCCTCGAGCACTTGCAACGCGTGAATGAAATTTGCCTTCGAAGCGATGTCCAGCCTATGATATGGTCTGATAGTAAGTTACAAGGATGATTGAGTTAGGGTGTGAACTAAGCTTTGTGTCTATTTGATAGTGCTATTTTGCTTGGGTAATTATTCCCTGAGATATGCTGACATATGAGAAAATGCACTAACTATACCTTTTATGACCTTAGCCATCAAAAACAACTCCTTGCAAGGGTATTATGACGAATCCAACAATCCTGCTACACCAGAATTGATTGAAAACATGCCTCAGAATATGAAGCTGATTTTTTGGGATTATTATCATACGACATCTGATATCTACTCTCAAAAAATACAGCAGCACAGACAAATGGGATGCCAAGATCCTTGGGTTGCAAGTAAGGCAAACTGTTATTCATCAATACAATAGCGCTCATTTTGTAAATACAGCATCGGCGTGGACTTGGAGTAGGTTCTGGACAGCATTGCCCTTTTCATTTCAGGCTATCAGAGCAAGCGTAATAGCAGCCAAGAACAAGGACGATGGTGTACGAAATACATTCATTACGACATGGGGAGATGAAGGAAATGAGTGCGATGTGTAGTGTGTCTATACTTGCTACGGGTGAATTGTATACTGATTCTTTTTTTTTATTGCAGCCTATCGTCATTGCCTGCCTTGTTTTACTATGCTCAACATGGATACACAGATCAGGAAGAAGTTGACATTCAGACATTGAAGCGGAATTTTGGTACGCATGAATACACAAAAGCTTACCTATTGCTAAGTATACAAACTATAGAGGGTATCTGTGGAGCAAACTTTGACGATTGGGTTCTAGCATCCAAGGTAAGCATGTGTGGAGTTGAACCATGTTGCTGCAATATTAAGCGTGCGTAGATTGATGATACCCCTGAAGGCGTGCCTATTACATCCAGATCCAACTTTGCGAATAACATGAGCAAATGGCTTATGTGGGAAGGTAAGGGCAATGTCGAGTGGCTGCAAACTGTGAAAGATACTCATCCAGGGCTGCTTGCAGAACCCATATTGAGCTTTCTATCACCGCAATACAACGATGAAGACTTGGAAACACATTACGCTGCCATTGAGGACCACTTGTCCAAAGCCATCTCAGAGAAAAGAACCTCATGCCCCTTCAATGATCGACTGGAGCTACCGCGTAGAATAGCCAAAGTATTATCACTGAAATGCCATTTGCGCAAGCACTGTGTCCGGGCATACAAAAAGAAAGACTACGACCAGCTATTGACAATCGCACATACTCGCTTGAAGCTGCTGAGAGGGGAAGTTGATGCGCTATGGAAATACCATCGCAGCATGTGGATGAAGACATACAAGCCCTTTGGTTGGGAAGTGCTAGAGAACAGATATGGTGGATTACGTACTCGACTTGAAACCATGTATGATAGGATTATAGCACATGTTGATTTTGTAAGAAACAACAAGCTGGCAGAAGAAGAGGATGAAGAAGATGAACATCAACGTATACCCGAGTTTGAAGTCGATTTAGAAACTATTTATTATGGGGCCAAGACAAACTTATTGCTGGATCATGCTCGGGTTGTATCTACCTCTCGCCCTGGATAATTTATGCTGCTATTTACAAATAAACACTTGCTGTAAATCACCTTTGTCGAGCAATCCCATATCCCATGCTGTATTATATTTGAGAATGCATGTTTATTTACCTACCAGGCAATAACAAGTGGAAACCATTAGCGATTATGATGGTGTTCTTTTCACAAACGATCAAATATAACGTGCTGGTCTTTGAGATGATAATGTAGATCTGCTATGTATAAAGTCCATCCTTAGTTTTCGCTATAAAGGAAAAGCAAGCATTGGAGAATGGCTCTGCGGGCTCGACGATATAGATTTATGCTCTCGCAAGGCTTGATATGAAGGTAGAGCCTGTTTAGCCTGATCGCTGCTGATTGATTGTTCGGAAATAATGCCTCTCTACGCTTGGAAACTTGCAGCAGGCAGAGCATTTTGCTGCTTATCCAATCCTACTACCTGCCAGCGCGGACCATCGCTGTGTCACTTGAGATCTACTTCTCAATTAGGCACGTTGCGTAAGTGCCAGACGAATCTGCGCCGGCGAAGATCCGCGCATGCTCACTCGGCTCTGATTTTAACATTGATGACTCCAAGATTGCATTACAAATAGCGCGCGGATGATCGCTGTATCACTCATGGTGCATCTGCTACGGTAAACAGTTGTGAGCATATATAAAGAGCCATAGTTGGCTTGTCATCTTTACTTGATCAAACCAAAGCATAAATCAAAACGAAATGACTAACACAGCTACTGTTTCTACCACTGAACGAATCTTCATCATTGGGTCAACTGGAACGATTGGATCCAAGACTGTCCAAGACCTCCTTGCCAATCAAGTTCCTGTCACCGTGTATGCTCGCAATCCTTCCAAAGTGGCCACCATGTTTCCTCAAGCTAACAACGATCTTCTCAAGGTTGTCCAAGGTGATTTCGAGGACTTGAGTCCAATCAAAGAAGCTGTCAAAGGACACACTCGTCTCTATCTCATCGCTTCTGATATGTCTACTTATGCTCAAGTCAAGAAAACTATTGCTACTTATGCTTATGCTGCTGGTGTCAAGCAAATTGTCGATATTTCATCCTCCTATATCGATCATGGCTGGAGAACCACTGCTATCGGTCAAATGAGCTATCTCGCTGAAGCAGGCATGTTTGATATTCCTAATCGTGGCTATTTGGTGACTCTTCGTCCTACTCGCTTTATGGGCAACTTGCTGGGACAAATGAGCAGACATGTCAATCAAGGTGTTTTCAACAATGTGCCCAAGGACTTTGAACAAGGATGGGCTTCCAACAATGACATTGGTGCTCTGGCTGCTGTTATTCTGCAAGAGGATATCCACAAGCACAAAGATGCGGTATACAATATGACCAGCGATGTTTGCACGCCTGCTCAATTCACGGCTATCCTGTCAAAGATTGTCGGTAAAGATCTGCCTTATCATCAAATCACGGACGTCCAAATGTACAATGCACTTATACAAGCCAACATCTTTTCTCATCCTGTTGCTCTGGAATTCATTGATTATCGCAACGAGAAATCTGCCAGTGTTACTCCTTGTATCGAAATCATGCTTGGTAGAACACCCGAGACTTTGGTGCAATTCCTCAATGCCAACAAGGATAAAATCATGCAACACTTGAAGAACTAGTTCCACTCACCACTATAATCACCCTACAATAATAAAAATTATTCCTTTATTTACAATCTATTTAAACCTTCCAAGCACTCTAATGTGTCTTTTCGTGTTTGAAGCGTTCAGTTGCAATGGCCTTAAGGATCTGCAAACGAGCTCGATTCAATTCCATCTCCAATCCCGGCACCTGCAACTCCTCCACCAGCTGTTTGATATTGTTTGAATTCAGAACGCCTTCTATATCTTGCTCCATGGCCACCAGATCAGGCTTGTTGGGTGATTTCTGGAAAGCTTCGTGGATTTCAGAAGGAAACACAATGTCCTCGGCACTGACGAGTGATTTCTTATCAAAAGTTATGTCCAAGTGTATGTCGTTGACGTACTTCAAACTGCCATAACTCGACAAGGACTCCAAATGTTCTGCGCCTTTCCAAGCTTTGTAATGGCTGTACAAACGAAACAAGTTGTAAGCAAGTGGTATATTGGGGATGAGTGGTACGACGACAAAGGTGCACGCCAAGGGAACCCAATAAGCAGAATAACGCATGTACTTTTTGTGATACGGAATTCGTTCGTTCAGCAATGCCTTTAATTCTGATTCGAGTTGAGATCCGTCCAAGATCGAAGGATGATGCACCAAGACCTACAAAGCATCCTTCTTGTCAGATCCACCTTCACAGCCGGTTGACTTGTATCACTGCCTACCTGATTCAAAGGCTTTTCAATATCCTCCTTGCCCGGCACACTCTTAAAGAACCATTCTTGATAATCCAACTGATTCATCACGTTGCTTCCACGAATATAAAGCTTTTTCTTCCAACTATCAGGCTCTGCTTTATCTAATAACTCCCATTTCTTGCTGGACCAGTCCACAGCTTTCGTCAGACGAGACGTGGAAGGGATGGTGGAATGACAGTAGTAGGCCCAACGATTCTTTACAATTGGAATAGCATAAAGACGCATGATAAAGAGGAAGTATAAGGAAAAAAAAGAAAGAGAGAAACGAAAATTCAATTCAAAACGACGTAATAAATCGCAGTAAAAAAAAAATAAAACTAAAATGGTGCATTTCAATGTCAAGCTTACCATTGTCCTTAAAAGGTAAGGATGTATTCATCATGATGATGGCCCTGGAAGCCGGAGGATCATTCACCATACACTGAGGTGTGCAGGAAGGATTCATTTCTCCTGATGAGATGTCGTACTTCACTATGCTGGCATTTGACAGATGGCATTGCAGCTTCGAGAACAAGCATAACATGGAGATCAATGAGAAGAGATCAAAGATGTTGAGTATACCCACTTGACATCAGAGAATCCAGTTTTTATAGTCTTGCTTCATTTTTATTGTGAATACAAATGGTATATTTACTTGATGGAATAAAAACGACTGAATAATTGTGTATAATACATATATAAGAAATAAGGTATGTTGAAAGAGTAAGTAGAGGGAACGGCAAGGGGAATAAAAGGTGATATGTATAGATATCTAAATATAATAAATGATAGTGTGGAGTGTGTGTGTGAGAGAGAGAGAGAGGAACAAGAAATTACTCTTCTTCTTCTTCTTCTTCTTCCTCTTCTATAATAGTTTTTGTACCCATGGGAGGGCCTCTTGGTTCCTGCATACCGTAGACACTTAATCTTGATCGAGGCACAAACTCAAATCGACTTGATCTGGGCCTGTGATTGGCATGATTGAATACGGTATTGGATGAGGATGGCGACGATGGGGATGGCGACGATGAGGAAGGAGTGGTATTGGTGTTGTAGAGGATGGGGTTGGTAGGTAACTAGATGAACGAGTTAGTAAAGTGACACATCCATCTAACATGGTGTACAACTTACCGGTGATGGTGTGGTGGATTGTGTTGCTGCAATCATATCTTCTTCTTCGTCATGCTCTTCCTCTGAATCACTGCTGCTACAACTGCTGTCTTCTTCAGATGAAAAGTCTGATAGATGTTTATGTTCTTCTTCATCTTGTTGCACAGTTGTGGTAGACGTGGAAGCATTGGATAGCGACAGTATGGAGTGTTCTTCCATGGGACTGATGGGCGATGCCAACATTTCCTTGACACGCGTCGTTGCTGCAGGAAGATGTTGCTCTACCGCTGTTACTGTGGTAGTTGTATTGAGCGAAGTAGAAAGACTAGGAGGAGATGGTGGGGGTGTAGGCTGCTGTCTATGATACATCATGGAATACCGCTTCTCACACATGTCAATTTCTTTGGGTTGTGAAGAAGCAGAGGTAAGGATCGAAAATGTATCAGTGACATAGCGAGAGGAAGAAGTGAGAGCAGTTGGAGGCATATGAACATTGACAGAAGAGGAGGAGGGATGAGGAAGTTGATAGTTAGGATAGAATGGAGCAGATCTATTAGAGTGAATAATACGGCTGGATGAGGGTGTGGATGAGATGGTAGTTGCTGTTGCTGAGGAGAATGAAGATGCTGTTGCTGTTGTTGTGGATGATTGTTTATTAGTAGTTGTAGTAGCATTGTAGGTTAATTGGTCTAATTCGCAAATAGGTGGTTCTGATAGCTGTATCACACGTCTTCGGTATTTCTGTGATCCAGTTCTGTATATGGGCGGCGACATGACTTCACAGATAATGTTACTGTTATTGGTAGCACAGCCGGATGTGGCTGAAGTGGATGCTGCAGTGGAATTGGATGCATCGAAATTGCGATAACTTGAGGGCGATGCGATGGGCGATGACATGGTGGAACAGTTGGATGATGAACGACCACGCTGTTGTTGTTGTTGCTGTTGTTGCTGTTGTTGCTGTTGCATTTGTAATTGCTGTTTAGAGCCAAACCATGATTTCACAGATGAAAACCAGCCAGATTTCTCGTTGTGAGGAATAGCAGCTGTAGATCCAAATCCCACGGTATGGATAGTATGTGGAGGTCGATTCATCTCTGGTGATGGATAGGGTTGCACATATTGCGGTAATGCCATCGGCTTTTCTTGGACAGCAAGCGAAACGATTTCTTTCTCATCTATGTGTGGCTCTTGGTCTTCTGCTTCATCTTCATCTTCCATGCCTGTTTGTATTCCACGATCAATTGGCGTTGTTTCTTTACCTGTACTAGTAGGGACACAAGTAGCAAGATCAAGTGACGAGGTGGAGTCGACCATCATTAGGTTTCTAGATTGAATGGCCGAGGCAAAGGCATCGGACACGTTGGATTTAGACGAGAGTTGTGAATTGGACATATTTTCAAGCAGCAAATGCCACAGTGTACTGGAAGTGTCGCATTCGCCTGTTTGCATCTTGATGAGTGCATCTTTGTCGAATCCAGCTGCGGTTAAAGCAGCAAAGAGGCGCTGTTCAATGGGTGTCATGCTGAATGTATCGCTGCTGGCCATGGATTCTCGCTGATAATAGAATGAAGATGGCAGTGATGTTCTGAAGCTTGACTGCAACAATGGCGAAGTGGGTGCTGCTGCTCGTCTGTTTAAGCTGGGCGCAGAGAAACGAGGCGATTTGCTTTGCTGCTGCTGCTGCTGCTGCTGCTGTGACGAGGGTCTCAATATGCCTAGACTGGATCGAACTTGGGGCGAGAACTTGAGATTGTGGTCTACCTCTTCCATGGCCGCAATAGAATTGACATCATTTTGAGAGAATATGGAATCAACATCGGATGAAGAGCTGCTGGATTGGTTTGTTGCAGTGGAGGAGGATGGCGTTAAGCAGGTATCGTCTTGTTGGTACATCCAAGCGTGATCTACAATAGCGTCGATGGACAGACGATCTGAGGGATTTGCTTGGAGCATATGGTGAATTAAATCTTGTAGGTTGGCAGAAAAGTAATACGGCATCTCATAGTCTACTTGCACAATCTTTCTCTGTGTCATAATCTCTGAATCATCGTCAAACGGATATTCGCCAGCTAACAGCGTGTAGAGAATTACACCAAGAGACCAAATATCAGTCTCTAATTTAGTTTTTGTAACGTTAGTTTCTTTTTGTACAGGTTACACCATGAAATATTACCTGGACCAGTGTACTTTTTTCGTAAAATGACCTCTGTTCACAAAAGTTAGTATAAACAAATGATTTCATCCTTGTTATTTTTACCTGGTGCAGAGTAGCTTAGACTGCCGCAAAATGTCTCTAGGTACTGATTTTTCTGTGTGAATCGAGCAAAGCCAAAGTCGCAAATCTTGACATTATCATCAGCGTCTAATAAGATGTTTTCTAATTTAAGGTCTCTATAAGGAGAGGAGGGGTTGGGTTGAGTTATATGTGATTGCATCTCCTTATGGCGGTATTTACCTATGGACAATGCCACGCGTATGACAGTACTTGATTGCATCTGTCAACTGACGAAACCACTTGTGAACTCGGATATCTGAGCATCGACCAGAGTCAGTCAATGCATCCAGCAAATCGCCGTTTGGGCAGTATTCGGATATGATGTGTATACATGATTCTGTCGTGATCATTTCGTACAGCATGACAATGTTGGGGTGTTTGAGTTGTCGGTGATGGTGGATCTCTCTGGCCATCATGGGCGCATGCTGTTTGCTGATCTTTTTGATAGCGACGAGTCGACCTGTTAATTTGTGTGTGCCTTTTTTAACTTTGCCAAATGTGCCCTCTCCAATGGTCTCTCCTATTGTATAGCAGCCGACCGACGTCATTTCGTGCGATGATAACTCCTTGAGCAATTCATTATAGTCTACTGCCAACTATACAAAAAGTGTTAGATGTGTCGAGTTTTCTGTTGATGGATCTTATTTTTACTTTGGCTTGTTGATTGTGTGTTACCGAGTTTCTTGGTGAACTCAACATTTTCTTGAATATATATACGATAAAGGAATGGAATTAGAGTGTATAATGTTGATTTTACAATTTTCGTGACATAAAGGAAGGTGGTGAATAGAATGATGGCTTTTTTTTGAGGGTGGAAAAAAAAAAAAGAGAGAGAGAGAAGAGAGAAAGAGGAAAAGAAGATATACAACAATCGTATTTAGCCCAATTTTTTTTTTTTTTTTTTTTTTTTTTTTGTATTAAGGAGAAAGAGAGAAAGAGGGAGAGAGCCTAAATCTGATCGCCCAATATACGAAAAGGAGCACAAGGAAAAAACACTGTGCAACATTCTCTTTTATTTTAACCAACCAACACACATTGCCAATTTCCTTTTTGTAGCGTCTTGGACTTGACAACATGTATTAAAAAGAACAATTAAAACCCTGGCATCATAGTAATCCAGTATAATTTGATCGCGCCATCATACATCTTTCACCAAAAACTTGCCTGTTTGGAAGACAGCATCACCCCACTCGAGCACACATGCTTCTAGTGTATAAAAATACACACTAAATTGGCTGTGGTTTATTTATTGGCAAAAAGAAATGTCGCACCAATTTTACAATCGCATAAACGTATTTGTAAGGTGGTACATTTTCCCTAAACAGACAATGAGTATAGTAATCGTTGCTATCCATAAGAGATCGTGGCATGACATTGGAGTCGCATATTGAATGCTAGCCTGATGTGTGAGGATATATGTACTCTTTGTACAAGACATCCTGGCATACTTGGGGTCATTATTCATGGCCATGAAGTGTTCATTTAGACGAGAGCATTCAGTGATCTGAAGGAGAAAGCGTCTATCGAGGTTAAATATTTGTACCATAATCAAATTCGACTTCAAATCCCTCCTAGCAATACCTTCGGTACTCATCTTGTCGCTTACTTTATTTCAACAAATAGCTTATTTCTCATACTTCCTGTTGGGGTTTCTGTTCATCAAATGATGAAACCCGAATAGTAGATCAATGCAATTGTGAATTGATGGTGATCCGGATTTTTGAAACGCCGTATCCAGGCACCAGCTTACAACATGACGTCCATAATACACATCTAACTACCTATGAGCATTAGGCTCATTATAGTCGTAGAAACAAAGCAGCTGCTTTGTCCAAAGCAAGATAAGCTTGCATTGGATTATACATGCTTAAATAAAGCAATTCTTCCTTTGAATTTATGCAACATCCATGTGCCATAACAGTTTCACATTTGCACTTTTTGAATGCAAGCTTGGCCAGCCGTTAAACACCTATACAGCACACATCAAGACTATTTGCTCCATCTATGGATCCATGATATGTAACATGATAACTCAAGAAAAACCTTTTTTTGTGAAAATTATACAGTGTTATTACGATTTATTTATCAACTATGTTTATGCGTGTTCAAATTTGTCACACAAATATGAGTGGTTTTACAAAAACTTGCCTAATAAGCCAGCAACTCCACCACTGCTATGAGATTGCTGTTGTTGCTGCTGTTGCTGACCTCCACCGCCGCTCAAACTACCCAAAATACTCATCACTTGACCGAGACCACCACCGGATCCGCCACCTTGGCTGTTGCCCTGTTGTGCCATGAATAATTTCATTGCCATCATGGCAGCGCTTTGAAGCATTTCACTTTGATTAGCACCACCAGCGCTACCACCTTGTGCCTTGAAGAGTTTCATGGCTTCACCCATGGCCAAACCAACAAGTTGGTTGGAAGATCCACCGCCATTGCTGCTACCTCCTCCACCAGAGAACATCTTGAATGCTTGCATGGCAGCAGCAGATCCCATATCGCGAGAAGACACGTTACCAGTGTTGCCTTGGTTATAGACTTGGTCATGAGCCTGAGCAGCGTTTTGAGCTTCGTTTTCGTTGATGCTTTGCTTTTGAGGAGCATCGTCGTCATCGCGATCAAAGACGTTGCTCAAAATGTTGGAAAAGAGGTTTTCCTCTGTTTGAACATGCTTCATCAGTGTCCCGTCATCTTTTTAATTGTAGGCTCACTATCACTTACTGTCATCATCATCGTCATCATCATCTTGAGCGTGTTGCTTTGCGTATCTAGCAGCTTGAGAGACATCAGGCTTTTGGTATCCACCGTAGGATTGTTGGACAGCACCTCCACCTACATGTATATCACTTTAGTGCCCCAGTCCCGATGTAAACATGTAATAGGCACTTTGATTTACCTTGGTAAGAGTTGGATTCACCACCTTGGTATGAGTTTGATTCGCCACCTTGATAAGAGTTTGCTTCACCGTAAGTCATTTTTGATTTATAATAGTAGTGAAAAAAAGAAGAGAGAAAACAAGAAAAAGCATGCTAATAGATGGTCTTTAAATAGCGTGTGTGTTTGTGTGTGCTTTGTATGGCGCGCCATTGAAGTAAGCGGGCGTAATAACATCGCATCATAAGGTTTCACAGCACTACTGATTAGATTGCCAGAGGTTGCCTTAATGGTGTAGAACCCGAATATCAGAGATTAAAAAAAGCTTATTTTGTCATGAAGCGAGTCGGGGTAACCCCATTTGCAGCTCCCTGGCAGCAGTAAAAATAAGCAGGTGCACTTCGATGCTTATTATTTGGGTGGTAATAGTGGAATTCAAGCCTATACTCAAGGTATGACATGTAATGTTGGTGTAGCATGCCAACTTGGCATTTCACATTAGACTTCGCATTTAGGTGAGCAGTTTACACGCATATAGGCCTATGGGATATCATTATATATCCTAGAAAACTAGAACACAAAAGCTCTTTTCCCAAGAACATAACGCGTCTAATTCAAGTGATTTCTTACCTGCTATTTGGCTGTGGACTGAGTGATGCGTGGTTTCAAGGCAACATTTGGTAACATTGACCTTAAGAGGGATTCATCGCAACGAAGCAAACGTGCAAAGCCACAGTAATTAAGCTGCAAATTGAGGGTTTTGTTTCCATTATTAATAAGCTTACCAACAACATAACACATCAAAATTTGCACGAACTAGCTTTACCAAAATCAATATGCCTCCTGTTCAAATTAGAAATTGCACAGGCTGCAGAACTGTCCTTCCAGAAGGTTTCAACTACCAATGATGTGGTTCATGCCGCGTAAATAAACTCTATACAGCAAAACATAACCAAATTTGACAGCTTTCAAGTCTTCATATCTTGACATGTAGGCCTTTCTGAGTCACCGGAATGACGCCAACCAATTGTACTTGAGTAGTAGTAACTTCCTGACATCTTTGCTCAACTTTTTTGGAATCACTAAAAATCAACCAAAAATCAATCGAAAACCATGAAGGGTACCTCATGGTTTCCATTGAAAATCAAACGATCGCATTTTTCACCTCCAAAATGAAGCCTTTTACTATGGTATATATGAAATCAACATGTTTCTCTCGATCCAAAGCAGCCGCTGAAATCACTTTTACGAGGTTTTCATATGCAAAATTTCGTTATTTTGGCCAAAAACCTTATTTCGTATTTTCTGTAATTGCTCAATAAGTTCATTCAAAACATCTATTTTATTTTGCACCATTGGAAGCGCCTTGAAAAGTACTCCAAGGGTGTATTAAGAAGCGTTGAATGATCATCACAATTTATATAGTCGAATATCATAAAGTAGTTCTGTCAAGTCGAAAAAGACAAAATCTGTCCAATCTTGAGCAGAAACAGCAAATGAAGTTTGAATCAATTTTAGGGGTTGGGGCTGCTGTTGGTTGACCCAAATGCCTGTTTGATGATGATAATGATGATTGCGATGCTAATTAGATGGAAATTATGTTGTTGAAAGGACACTTGTTTAGCCCGAATACTTTTTTTTTCTTGGGAGTTTTTCCCTATAAAGGTGTCTTTTGCAATGACAATACCTCAAAAAAGTCGCTGTATAGATCTGATAGAAGACCTATATTTACTCAGGGCCAGCTTATGCTGCCATCTCAACAATTCTACGACCAGAAAATGAAGCACGAACAGAGAATGTGATATACAAATTCTGCATAAAACTTGAACTCTCTTTCACATCGTCTCAATAGCAGCCTTCTTTTGATATCAGTGTATAAGCAAAGAGGATTACTGGGAGAGTGGGCTGATACCTTCTTCTCCTACTAACTATGACAAAACCTTTCTTTTACTATTAATTGTCTGTTCAAAATCTACTTGATTTACCAAATTTTTATTATCTTTGATTTGAGATGTCTTCGGCAGCCATCGAGCGTAGCAAGATAGTTTGGGTAGTAGCAATATACAACAGAAGTAAATCAAATTATTCAGCCCGAGTTATTGTATTTTTCAGTCTGCAATCCCCTCATCAGCTTTCAAAAGCAATGGAGTATTTATCTTGCCAGCCAAAATCTTTTAAATCTCCACTTATGATATTTCCTCGAAATAGAAATATTTTTTTGCATTTTGCGACTTGATCGCTCTATTTTGCCAAATTTGACTATGTAAACTGTGATGCACACTTCGTGCGCCCCTAAGCTTTCTGGGAGTACTTTTCAAGGCGCTTCCAATGGTATCAAGAAAAAGAGATGTTTTGATCAAGCAAATTGAGCAATGCTTGAAAATATGAAATGAGGTTTTTGGCCAAAATGTCGAGATTTTGCATAAGAAGGTGCCAAAAATGTGATTTCAAGGGTTGCTTTGGATCGAGAGAAACATGTTGATTTCATATATACCATAGTAAAAGGCTTCATTTTGGAGGTCAAAAACGCGATCGTTTGATTTTCGATAAAAATCATGAGGTATCCCTCATGGTTTTCGGTTGATTTTTGGTTGATTTTTGGTGATCCCAAAAAAGTTGAGCAGAGGTGCCAGAAAGTTAATGCTAGCTGAGAGCAATTGTTTGGTGTCATTCTGGCGGTCTAGAACGGCTTCCAGAACGAGAAATCACTGCTCTAATGCACCCAAATTTCGCTGTGTTTCGCAGACTTTTGATGCGTATAAGGTAAAAGATATATGTTGTTTGCTCGTATGTGAATTGTTCCCAATAATATAGATGTGGAGCATTGCGAAAAAGTCAGATCCATAGCTCCACGTCGTTCCGCGAGGCTCCCCACATTATAACCGACAACTTAAAAGTCCAATTTCGGCATTAATGCAGCTCGAATCTCGTAAATGGATACCATGGTATAATTTGAAAGAAAAAGAATTGTGAGATCGAGCGTTGACTTGAATAGGGCACCTGTTGTACGACGCTGTAAATGGATGGTGGTATAGCTTATTCGCCTCAAACATGGCTACTTGCACTGAAATGCCTGCAAATCAGGTACCAGTTTGATACCTAAATGTGAAAGATTGATAAAACCTTAAATAGTGGTTCGACTTCAATCAAACCAAGTGCATTCAAAAGATACTGATCTCTTGGATTTTGGCATGGGCTTTGGCATGGGCTTTGGCATTGACTGATGCTGTCTACAGGGAGCACTACAGACAAACAGAGGACAAATATCCAAAGACCATCCACGCTTATGGACTGCTCTTGATGTAAACCAGTCCCTTAAATCAGTGAAAAAAAAGTGTCAGAAAGTTTTTCAGGAATCCATCATCCACCTTTTATTGTTTTGTAGTAGTCGATCATGAAATTCACTCCCATCATTGACAAGAATGTGGTTCTTCATGACGTCTCAAAGAAGACGCATGTCAGCTTTGACGATGTGGAGCCTACTCCTACAGCAGCAGTAAAGGAATCCAAGAAGCGATCACATCCAGCTCATGACAGTAGTGACAAGGGCAAAAAGAAGAAGCACAAATCAGACAAAAAGTTAGACAAGAAGAAGGCCAAAAAGTCAAAAGATGCTGATATTTCCATAACAGAAGCGAAGCCTGCTACTACTACTGTCGTTGCTGCAATATCTCCTGAACCCAAGCCGGCAGTCATTGCTAAACCCATCGCTGTTGCAACTCCCATCAGTACACCTGCCTCCAAAAACAACAACAAGCCAGCTAAGAAGGCACCTGCCATTGCAATCACTCCCAACTCGAAAAAACCCAATGCATCTCCTAAAAACAACAGCAAAGCTAAAGGAAAGCAACCGCCCAAAAAGTTGACACAGGAAGAAGTACTTGCCAAAGTAGCAGCAATTCGTAAAAAGAAGCAACTCAAGCGTCAAGCGAAAGTCAAGGTCGATGGACAAGTGGTTACCAAACCTACGTTTAACATCATACCCAGTAACCTCCAGGCGGTTATGCCTACCAAACAGCTGGGCGAGTTTGTCCTGTATGCGTTATCCGAGACCAGCAACTTGCCTTGGTGCAACATTATCCATAAAGCCAAGGTGGATCATGTCGTCATGATGTACGCTCAAGGACTTAATTGCAACTATTTCGGTGTAGACGATACAACCACACCCTATGTCGATTTAGAGCAACTCAAGGAATCTGTGGGCAAAGCTGCTATGCCGTTCCTGACCAAGCAAGCCAGATACATGATCACCAACCAAATCTCTGGCAAGAATGGCCGCTTCAACTCACCTGTCGCTGATATCCTGCAGTGCAACATGTCCAACTCAAAGAAGGAGCGCTTGGCCAAGGAGAAGCAAATCAAAATGCAAAAGTACAAGAACAACATGCGTGAGTTTTACATGGTGACATTGGAGGAGATGAAAAAGATCGATTATCCTATTCCTCCCTTCTTGGATCCCAGTGCAACATTGCCTGAGGGTTGGAAGGAGACACATCCTGCTTTGGAGCCTTTGAAGGAAGGCGATCAGAAGCGCTTGATTGCTGTGGACTGTGAGATGGTTTTGACTGTAAAGGGCAGTTCTTTGGCTCGTATTACACTGATTGATGAAGGTAGGAAAAAGCACATGAAATTCTCTTGGCGGGCTGATGACTGATGTCTATCTGTGATGTGTAGATGGCAGTGTGTTGTTGGATGAACTTGTAAAGCCTGATCAACCCATCGTCGATTACTTGACCCGATACTCTGGTATCACACCTGCTAGAATGAAGACAGCTACATGCTCTTTGCGTCGTGCTCAGAAGTATGTCCGCAAGTTCGTTAACCACAACGTCATTCTTGTTGGTCATGGTTTAGAAAACGATTTAAAGGCATTGCAGTTGGCCCATCCTTACTGTGTGGATACATCGTTGCTGTATGATCATCATCGTGGGCCTCCCTATAAACCTTCGCTTCGTTTCCTGACTCGCACCTATCTCAAGCGTCATATTCAAGAACGTAATCAAGAACGTGTTGGTCATGATTCTAATGAAGATGCTCGCGCCACACTGGATTTGTTCAAGCTCAAGTTGGCCAATAAACCCAGTTTTGGCAAATTCAAGCAAACCGAGCTCATCATGGATCGTCTGCTTGCCAATCGCCCCAGTCGTTCCAGCGCCATTTTGGAGAGTAGCAGAAGCGATTACCGCTCATTCGGATCAACTGAGAGTGGTGAATATCGTCGTGTGGATACCGATGAAGAATTGGTGGATTTGACATTGGAAAAACTGCCTACCACCAACTTTTTGTTTACACGTTATCAAGCAGCAGATGAGAATTTGGTGCGTCGTGAATTGGAGGGTGGTGAAGCCCCTGATATTTTGCCCACTGCTGCCAAGGCCACTTCGGACCGTGCTCTCAGACTTCAGTCCATGGACTCTTATATCCGTCGTATTTACCAAGGTCTTCCTCCCAACTCTTTCTTGATCGTGTCTGGAGGTGTGAATAATGTGCCAGAATACAAGGCCTTATACGAAAAGCATAGAATCTATCAAGAAAAGTACGGTAGCAAGAAGTTGAGTGCTGCAGAGATACCAAGGGAGGAGCAATGGACAGAGGCAGATCAAGAGACATTGTGTAAATATGCTGCAAAGGCAAGAACAAGTACATCATTCTTTCTGTTCAAATCAATTTAAGGCAGTTTATACAAGAATAAGATCACGCATCAATTACTACCATGATTTATGCCGATTATCTTCTGTTCCATATAATAAATTAGCATAGACTTTTTCCTTCTCTCTTTCTTCTACTACTTTTGTACTTGTCAAAATGACCCGTTTTTGGACCCGCTTATTCCATAGTAAAAAGAAGAAACTACCAGTAATTATGTTTGATGACTATGCTCAATCCAAGCATCTCAAAGAGTCTTACATGTACGGTAAGCGCCTTGTTCGAGTAGACAAGCTGCAGAGTGCGTATTATCATTTGCAGCAGCAACAAAAGAAATCTCAGGTACCGTTTTGGAGGTTTATGGATCCATTCATTCAGACATGGTATTCGGAATTGGAGAGACTCTGTCGCTCAAGTCAATCAGCTCTTATCATGCTGAATATGCAGCTGGAGGAGGTATCGAATACGATATGCTTCGTTGTAAGTAGATCATGCCATATCACTCTTGAACAGGTGCCTGATGGTGTGTTCCATTCACAGTCATCTCCTTTGAAGAATCGAAACAGAAAATCACTCAAGAAGGCCCATCAGTTTATAGCAACATGTCTTGACGAATGGGATTTCATACAGATGGGAGCTTCTTGTTCAACGGGCTCAAATGATTCATATCAAGGCTACTTTGAACAGATGGAGTCTCGAGCTCAGTATGAATTTGGGGTAAGTGCATTTCACATGTGTATAATACAGATGCAGAGGAGGGCTGATGATACTATACCAGACATACTCTTCACCCAAGCTGTGTCAGTGCATCCGACAAGTGTATCGATTCAAGCAAAATTTGCAGCTCTACCGCTGCTACATCACCTCGCAATTTGATATGCTCTGGGGATTAGGCAGCACAGCAATGCAACTGGAACCAACCACAGATGTACCACTATTACAAGTCATGAAATCTCGCTGGCAACAGAAATACACTCATGAACTCGCATCGTACACCGCCATCACAGACTCATTTCATGCACTTTTGAAAAAGAGTACGCCTGTTCGACAAGATTTTACATGCGCCGTCTGTCTTTGCATCTGGCACGAACCGACGACTCTGCAATGCAACCACACGTTTTGCCGCAACTGTGTTCAGCACATGCTGTGTGCCAGCTGCCACAAATTTCGGCGAAAAACATTAAATCGTATATCAGAAGGGTTGGTGCATTGGATCAAGCCGTTTCCAGCAGTGTATTGCACATGTCAAATATTCAATCATTTGGGTCAAACAACACCTTTAAACAAAGAAGGAACATGTCCTCTGTGTCGTACACTCTTCAGCCCAGCAGACTGTGTTGTGGATGAGGAGCTATCCAAGTTTATTGCGCTGTATTTCCCCAAGAGCAGCCAGAAAGACAACGACGAGGAAGATGCCGTCCAAGAGAGCAGAGAATTGGACCAGCAACATGTTGCAAAGAAACAGAAATCAAGTGCTAATACAGATCATGCAAACACACGAAGAAGAAGCCAAGTCAATGCTGCCAAGTTTTATTCTAAAATGCAGAGATGGTCCAACAAGTGGAGTGGATATTATGGTGAGGCTAATGCAGGCATTGGTCAGGCACTGCCTCCTGTTCCTCGCATACCTTTGGCATCAACTCAAAGACAAGTGAATTATGAAATGTTGGTACTAGCGAGACGGTCATGGATGTTTTAAGTTGTGGATTAGCAGAATGTCATTTTGTCGATTTAGCATAGAAAGTGCTGTATTGACCAGCTCCTAGTAACTCATAGATATATATATATATCTATTGACTCTTGTAGATCTAAATGAACAGTAAAGCGTTTATTTGGAATACATATGTTAAAAAGCTATGCATGTAAATGTGAATCAGTATTGGAAAAAAAGTTCAAGTTGAGATATATATATTTGAGCCGTTGGACATGTATAAAACATGTCATAATGGCAATACCGAACGTATGAATCCAAAGTTTCAAGTCAATGTTCATACTGGACTCCATGATGTAGCTTTGGCATCTTCAACACTCAATCTCAGGTCCACTCTAACCAAATACAGTGTTTAGAGCTTGTTTCCGTTCCTTTCATCAAAGATTTACAGTATTGCTACCAGGATCGCACACACCGCTATACATATCTTCGCACATGCTGCCAGCATGACTCCATCTATTCAATTACCAAAAGAAAAGTAGCATTTTTTTTTCCATTTGTTTATTTAAATATATATATAAAACGTGTGTTTAAGTTGAACTGTGTATTTGTGTGTTGTTTAAGAAGATTCAGAGTACTTTGAGGTATCAACGCCGTGACTGTTGTGATTAGCAAAGTTGAACCATGGGATAGCACCTAAAGAGCAGCACATGTTTAATTCCACCATATCACTAGTACATTCACCTAAACCACTTACCAAACTTCAATTGTGAGTATCTAGAGTTTCTAGCAGAGGCATCTTGGACATATTCGGGCATATAGCTCTCACCGTACAAGGCCTTTCCCTCCTTTGCAAGTTGACTTAATTCAGCTTGATCTTTAGCAACCTCGGCGGAATTTTCAGTCCAACCCCAGAAACGAACTATATAACAAGATCAGCATCCAATCTCTCTATCCAAAATCATACTTGAAACTTACGACTGCTGGTTTGGTAAGCATACAAGAAACCACCAAAAGCACCAACAACTGTAGCAATACGGAGAGGAAGACGCAGGTTGCGAAGAGGGCCAGCGGGATCCATTTTTTCTACAGAAAAAGGTGAGTGTGTCAGTAATCCAATGCTAAATGTCGATGTGTTTCGTCTCTCTATGGCTGTCAAAATCAACTTTACCCATTCCCAACAACAAAGCAGGAGCAGCAGCAGTGCCTGCAGCCCAAGCAGCGTAATCTGAGGGTCTCATGTAACGGACGACACGGCTGAAATGAGGATCGCTGTCAATAACAGGGTAAGGAGTGGTGAATTCTTTAACGGGCATGATAGATCTTTGTAACTTGATTCAATAAAAAATCAACAAGACTAATCCAAATATCAAATGTAAAGGTGATGGTGCAGCATATATTGATACAAATTGATGATGATTATCCAAATGATGTTGTAATGCGAGAAATTTGATGTAAAATGTCGAATATGAGATATAATTGGAAGGTAGAAAAGAGAAATGTCCTTGATTTTTAGTATTCATTGCAATCCCATTGTACATTTTGATTTCGCATCATGCTTTCATGATATACTTACGAGTAGGGTGTTGTGAAGATTGACTATAATAAAACAAAAAATGTAAAAAAGAGGGCCTTCAATATTTGCAATGTTTTTTTTAAACCAGGTTCGATTGGCATCTTCAATAGGAGCCAATTTGCTAGTTTCGAGGCAAGCAAGTGACGTCGACAGCCTCAAGCAACCAGTAAATGTGTCAATGAAATGTGGGGAAATGAAAAGAAGCTCTTGTTTATTAAAAGGTATATATACAATCATGATGCGAATTCATTAGATATAAGTCTTCTGGAATTGATGGTCAAGGTTTTGTTATTGCACAGCTTTACTTTGGTGTAGAGGCGTTTGCCATGTGGCAATCCAGAGATCTTTTTGAAATTGGTGACCCTCAGATACGGTTGGCCGACAAAGAACTGCTTTTGATAATACCACTGACTCTTGCCGTCTGCATTGTACAGCTTAAAGTATTGGCTTTCTTCAAAGTTGACCTCCAGGTTCTTGAGATGGTCTTGATGCTCAAAATTCAGCTCCAATGCCATGTTCTTTCGCTTCTTCTTGGCGCAATGAATAAGTCGATTTTCATAATAGCCATCCGTTTCAAAGATAAATGTGGTGAGGTTGGGAGAGAACAAGATGACATTGTTGACAATGGCGTTGCAGTTGCTGAGCTCCTTGTCATTTGTGATACCACAGCGTGTGATGGTGAGATGTTCCAGTAAGGTGGGTTGTGTTAGTGTTGGTGTGTTTTCTACCTTGACATTCGCCAGCATTCTTCCAATGGTAAAGTATTTAAGCGTGGGCACTTCGCGCAAGACCATCGGCAGCATGTCGATTTCATATTCGCTTTGCTCCACTCGGCTTGATACGTTCAGCGTATGCAGATTTCGGAATGCACTGATGATGGAAATCCACTTGTGATTGGGGCCATTCTGGTGATGGAAACTGTCGTTACTGTATCTGATCTTGAGTGAGTTGAGATGCTTGGCTTGATCCGAGACTTGTACAAACAAGAGCTGCTCCTCCAAAGTCACTCTGTTGCCGCTGATGCCAAGATGATTCAGCTCAACCCCGTTATCGTCAAATTCCTTCAAAATATCAATGCTTAACGGACATGTGTTTGTGTCATACGATTTCAGTTGAGGCCAGTTGCGGCAGGCAAGTGCCAGAGGTTTCTCCAGCTTGAATCCTGTAGGGCTTGTAATGTCATCCATGGCTCGGTAGAAGCAGAAGCTATGTAGATCTGAATACTTTTTGCCCGTGTATTCAAGCCACTTGATAATCACAGCATCATTCAATTCATCCTCGGTGGCAACGCTGTCCATTGTTGACAAGGTAATGTCCTTAATATTGCTGGCTTTTTCCTTGACATCTATTCCATTTTTAGTCGATTCGATGTATACATCATCAATGACTGACTCTATCTCGGTGTGCAGACAAAGCAGCATTTTATTGAGGTGTAATGTCTTTAAGTTGGGTGTGCTGGCGTGTAGATTTTCCATATCTTTCAATGTAATAAAGATGTTCGTCAGATCAAGACATGTCAGCAACGGTGCGTTGTATAGATATTTGATGAGTGATTGCACCTTGAAGTAATTTTCAACATAAGATGCCTCTGTCGCCTCAGAGTAGCTGCTATCCCAAGCGTAAGTAAGTTTGATGGATGTGAGATGTGTTGGTATGGGCGATTTCAATAGAGATACTGTGATGGGCAGGTAATGTGTCTCCGTTATATTTTCCAGGGTCGTCCACTTTTGCATGGAGAGGTCGAATGAAAGCAGATTCACATCGTCTGGCGTAAACTGATCCTCATCAGCATTGTCGAACGGCACTATGGTCAAGCTCTTGAGGCTGGGAAATGTGTCTGGCAGTGTCGTCACCAGCAATGTTGGCAAATAGATGTTTCGAATCTCAAGTTGTCTTACGGACCTCTTGCATCTTTGGTGATAGAGGTAGCGAATTGCACGTTCAAGTCGTTTTTCGTTATTAAATGTGAGTTTGGTGTACAGACTATCAGATTTGACCCAGTTGTACCACTTGCGACATACAACGAGACACTCTAATTTAGTTTGTATATCAATGTAAGATTGTATCAGAAGAAATGTTTCTTTTGGCAGTGATTCCATGATGGATGTGTAAGTGTTTTGTTGCGGGAAAAAATTGTTTGAAGCAATCTATGAAAAGGATAGACAAAATGGTCGCAAATCTACACTAACTCATGCTAGAACTAACCCAATTGCGTTACGTCAAAGTATTGTCACCCCCCTCTTTATGTAAATAGAATAATAACGTAAGCTACAGACACTTTTTTATCATAAAGCAATGGTTTCAAAGGATTGGGCTAACTGCAAAATGCTGTTACAAGGAGAGCATAAAGCCATCAACATATCAATAGCGTATAATGTATTTTGGTGGCCATTTTCTGGATAGCAAAAATACAAACAGCAGTATTCAAATTTCATTCAAATTTCACGCAAATACATTGAATTCGAAATCCTACGTACCATGATTACCCTGACCCAATGCACTGGCACCTACTGGAGATTTAGATATACATTCTACTCATGCTTCATTTTTTAGTAAATGTGAATGAACTTTTCTCGACATATGTGTTGATTTCAGCACTGTACCCAAGCGATTTTTAATAATAACCGACGACCGTGTGTGCGAGATTAGCATTAGAATTGAGGCTTGTTTAAGAATACCCATTTGGGTCACCTGTGTAATGCAGCAAATGCACAGATTTCGGGTTAGTATACATATAAATTATCGGATGTGATTTACTCCGTAGCTTGGATCCTGAAAACAGCTCAAATGCGAGTTTCGTTCAATTCGACATCTTGTAGACGCTCTGTCTATTTACTCCTAGACATAGGTCAATGGGGATAATTTACCCGGGATTTCTGTGTCTACCAAACACAAGAAGACGCCGTGCACCATTCACCAGAATTCTGTGCAATTGTTTAGTATTACAAAAAGTAGAAATGAGAATATTCTGTCACCAGAAAACAGCAATGCATTTCTGGTCATATTATGCATCTTGTTTTACAATTCACAAAGGTCATTTTATATAATTTTTCCATAAACATAGCTTTTTACAAACGAGCGATGGGATTTTCCAGCATTCTGGATTGATCTGACAACAGAAACGTATACAACAGACCCATTGTGTGGTTGTATCGCGCTCTGAGCCAAAGTGTCTAGCCTCGATTCCCTTTGTTGTAATACGCCTATTTTAGGAAAATGTCACAAACGTGCAAAGTGTGGTTACATGCAATTTGTAAGAGCCTACTACACGGTTAATTGACCAATGCTCCGCCCTACTAAAGAAGCACGTTAAAGATGTCCATGCGAGCACGTACACACACACACATACTAAGCTGTTTCTCTCAATTTAGAAAAATATCATGCAAAAAGCAATGCTACTTTTAGACATGCCTAGAATGTGATTTTACACAATAATTGGAAAATTTCCCAATGATCAGAAATGAATAGCATATGCTAGAGTTCCTTGATAAATCCTTCTCAGGAACACATACTGAGGTGCCAAGCTTTTATACGACAGTATACAGTGCTTGATTGACGTATTGTTGTGCTGGTTGCAGCCCGATCAGTGTTCAGTGATCATGCGATTGTAAAGGAGGAGTATATCCATTTTGAGGATTTTTTCTGTATAAGCGGATTGAGTGATGAAAAATGTCTACTATGTAAAATCAATGGATATATACAAACGCGCAAGCAAAACACTAATCTTCATGAGAACCAATAAACTCTGTTGTATTTACCCAACAAACAGCCATCTCATCATGTTTGGTTACCTTCATCGACTATTTATGCTGTGTAAATTGTCTGCATCTCACAAGAGATCCCGTATATCTTGTGCCCAGAGACGTACGGAAGCAATGTTATACACTATGTACCATTGCACTCTCTGATCAATCATGTGTGTAGTGCACCCTTGATTCAAGTCTCACGAAACAGCATGCATTTCATATGTTTTTGTTTGACACTTTACACCACCAAAATTAAGCTTATATCTGCCACAAAGGCATTGTTTTACGTAGCAAAAAGTATCGTAAAGGGACTCAATTCGCTCGTACATCGTTCACAGGAACGAGATTCATAATGAGTGAGAAATACAGCTTGGTTTTTTGTATAAATAGGCAAAGGATTTGGCCTCAAATTCGAATTTTAAATCAATCAAACCAACAAACAAATCAAATCAAAATGCGCGCCTCTCTCTTTGCTATTGCTTTTACTATTGCTGCCTCAGGTAAGTTTTTGGATGGGATTGGGTGCACCTCAAAGGTGAGGTTTAAAGTATTAACATTGCATTCTGCTAGTCAATGCTGCCGCTGTCCAAAAACGTGCTGTTTCTGCCGGTGTTCAATCTTGTATTGATGGCCTCAATGCCGCTAGTGCTCAGCTCTTGACTGTAACCAGCCAAGTCAACTCCTTCACCAGCTCTGCTGGCTACTCTGGTGCCCTTGCTGTTCACTCTAGCGAACAAACTCTCGAGTCCAAGTTGAAGGCTGCTACTACCAGCTGTTGTGCTGTTACCTCCACTGTCTCTGAGGAGGATGCCACTGCTGTATTCAGTGTTGTTGGTGTTGTTGTCCCTGAAATCGAGAGTGCCTTGAGTGCCATTGTTACCAAGAAGCCTCAATTTGATGCCGTTCTCTTGGCTACTTCTTTGGTCAAGACTGACATCAAGAACTTGAACACCGAAGTCAACTCTTTGGATACTTGCTTGATTGCTGTCACTCCTGCTGATGATTTGGCCAATGCCAACGCCTACGTTGACAGAGTCAACACTGCCTTTGCTTCTGCCAAGACCGCCTATGGTATCTAAATAGCATAGCTAGTCTTCATTGCTAATTGAATCTTTTTATTGAATAAATTGATCATGATATAATGTACAATTCTCAAAACAGTTTTCAAATGCGCATCTGATATAACATTGCCAGCTATTTAATATCTACAATTTAGAAGCATTGCATGTATTTGGCATTCAAATTCCTCGCATATAACACTTGTTAGTTGATGTTGCTTTGCAATCTTATGAAGTATGTTTAATAACATTGCCACAATAAGCTATGATATAATTATAGCACCGGAATGTACCTAAAATGTCTGCCTTGAGGCATTTTTTTAACGTAATAATCGCAGAGGAAGATAGTTTTAAAGATACTTGATGTAGACATAATATCATCGTGTGCAATCAATATGACTGCAACTCAACAAACTTCCTATAAATCTTCATCAATACATCATTGCTACCTGGATCAATTGAGTTGTAGCATAAATCATTAATTTATATATCGTAAAATATTCAAAAAAGTAGACAAGCAAACCGCATCCTTTCAAAATGTTAAAGATTTGTGTGCCGTGCAAGGTGAATGAAAGCACCGGCAAAGCCGGCAATGGGGAGGAGGTTTGGGGGAAAGAACATAACGCATCTAACTCAACACTTGATAGCATTGATCTATAGGGGTGTTTTTCCGTAGCGAAGCAAAGATGCAAAACTATGGCAACTAAGCATCTAACACAATATTTGGTAATATTAATCTCAATGGGGTTTTACCGTAGCAAAACTAATGTGCAAGACCATATTATTCATGCAGCAAATTCGGGTTTTCATTACCGTTGTATTTGTGGAATTTGAGGTTTGATAGACTAAAATTCACGGAAAAAAAAGAATAAAAAAAACAGTAAAGTCAACTTGATAAAGGTATGTTATATTATCAAACTGACAGGTGTAAAGTAAACTTGAAGCCCCTCTACTGGCCAGGTAGATGATCCTTCTTATATATTATAACAAGGGATAAAAGTTCTATTAATTAGATTGACAAATACTATGAATAACTAAAATCATACAAATGAATGTATCAGTAAATTATCAGTTTATCATTCTGTGCAAAATTAAGACGATCCTTTATTGAATGAATTGTGTGGTCCCATTTATATCTTTGTGAATATTGTCAAATCCTGAGGTGTAAAGACAAGTGTGATGATCCAGTAGATTTTCGTAAATGATATGTGTAGATAATCTACAGTTAAGTGTAATTGTAACCGTTCTTGTATGTCATTGAATTAAATGGTATTGTTTCAGTAATAGTCATCCTACTAGTTGACTATTTGTTGGGTCTTGATGTGCGTGTAGACTGTAGTTTGATGTGCGTTTAGTAGTGTATGTAAAAACCGATGGGATGTTGATGGGTTGTATTAGGTGTAATATAATGGATTATGATGTGAAATGCATCAAATGAAAATAAGAAACCAAATTTACTGCTTTATTATGGCTTTCCACGTTTGCTTCCTTAGGGTTATTATACCTGTTTAAGGTCAAGGTTAGCAAATGTTGCCTTGACACCACAAATCACTTAATCCACAGCTAAGTATAGCAGGTATAACATCATTAAAATTAGATGCAGTGTGTTCTTGGGACAAGGGCTTGCAGTCTCTAATTTGCTACTACGACGCTTTTATGTTCAAGGCTTCCAGTATTTGTTACTTGCCCATTCATCTCGCTACGCTCGATGTCGGCGTCGCCCTGCGGGCTCTCATCGAAGCCGTTTTAAATCAGACATTATAACATTTTGGTATATCAAGTAGATTTTAAACAATTTATTATTAGTTAGTAACAGAAAGGTTGTATCAGAGCCAGGAGGAGGAGAGGAGGTATCTCCCTTAGTATCCTTTTTGCTTACGCTGATATTAAACAAAGCCTATTTTTGGGACAATGCGAAAGAAATTCAAATTTTATGCAGTATTTGTATATCACAAATGCCATTTTTTGATAATAGAATTGTCATATCATTCACTGCTGCTGATGCTCTTAATAAGATGGCGACATAAAGCTGGTCATAAGTAAATAAAGGACTTGTGTAAGATTTACAGCGACTTTTTTTTTTGAGATGTTGACATTGCAAAAGGCTCGCTTGTAACAAAAGCACCCAAAAAAGTATTTGGGTTAAGCAATTACCCTTTCAATTCCATGATCCTCATTTAATCAACATCGCAATCATCATTATCATCAACAGAAAAGCATTTAGGTCAGCCATCAGCAATGCCGCCGCCAAAATTAATTCAACCTCAGCTTATTTTTTTCTGCTCAAGATTGGACAGATTTCGCCTTTTTTCGACTTCTTTAATCTATCTTTTGGTATTCGACTATATGAACTGTGATGATCACCCTACGCTTCCTAATACATTCTTGAAGTACTTTTCAAGGCGCTTCCGATGGTGCTAACTGTAATAAGTGTTTTGATTGAAACTATTGAGCAATTCAATAAAATCTGAAATGAGATTTTTAGCAAAAATAGCCATATTTTGTATATGAAAGCCTCATAACAGTGGTTTCAGAGGTTGCTATGGATCGAGAGAAACATTTTGATTTGATATATGCCATAGTAAAAGTCTTTATTTTTAAGGCGGAAAATGCGATCCTTTGATTTTCGTAAAAAAACCATGAGGGGTACCTCATGCTTTTTGGTTAATTTTTGGCCATATTTTTTAGGTTTTCAAAAAGTTGAGCAAAGGTGTCAGAAAGTTACTACTACTCAAGTGCAATTGTTTGGCGTTATTCCGGTGGCTCAGAAATGTCTACATGTCAAGATATGAAGGCTTGGAAACTGTCCAATTTGGTTATGTTTATGCTTTATAGCTTTTATTTACACGGCATGAACCACATCTTTAGTAGCTAAAGCCGTCTGGAAGGGCAGTTCTGCAACCTGTGCAGCTTGTAATTTCAACAGGAGACATATTGATTTTGTAAGACTAATTCATACGAATTTTGATGCCCTATGTTGCTGGTAAGCTTATTATTAACAATGCAAATGAGAACCCAAATTTGCTGCTTGAACATTATAGTCGTACACCTTTGCTTGGCTACGGTATATTCGATCAGGACTAATATCAACAAATGTTGAATTAGATGCAATATCACTACACTTGACGACGGTGTCACCCTGCGGGCTGTCGCCGTAGACATTCCAAATCATTAACAATAATAAACTCAGCTATAAATGTAGATTTTAAACAATCCATTATTAATAAAGAAGGAGAGAAATTGAATTTACTACTAAGATACTACGATTTTGCATATTCGCTTCGCAACAATCAAGCCCTCGTATAGATCAATACTATGAAAGGCTGGACTGGATTATATGTGAATACAACACGTAGAAAGACATGGCTTACAAATTTACTGAGTTTATTAAAGATGCATGCATTGAATACCCCAAAGAGTAGCACACATTATTATGTTGCCTTTGTTGCAGAAGCGGGCCCATACTGTTTAATTTCATTAATAGGATGCTATCTATTGCACGGCATGAGATAGTAAAAAGATAACATACATGAAAAAATGTCTTTTAATACTATACGATACAATGTTTGCCCCAATATTCATTAGATACTGTTTCTCAATCGCTTGATGACCGTGTGAAATATACAAAATAATCCAATCAGACTGCAGATAATAATCTTCATAAACTGCTACTGTAGTGGAATTAGGTTCTCGAAACTTTGTGGTACTATATTCGCTTTTACTATGCCATCGCGTTGTTGAACAGTTCGTAATATATGAATGTTATTTTGAATGTGTACTAGAGCTGATTCGTTTAAAAGTTACTGGCAGATAAATGTAAAGTTATCAAAAAGTTTCCGCATAGAATGTTACAAAGTGTTTTTTTATTTAATGGTGTTGTGAGTATAAGTAACAGATTTAGATAAATGTATATGTCTCAGCAGTATAAGTGAGAAAAAAAAATAACCTTTATTATTTTTGATATTCATATTAACTATAAAAGTTACTAACAAAGTCTGTGTGCACCTGTGTCGTGTGTATAGGTATAGTTTTAGAGTAGACTTAGATAAATGTATATAAAAGAATAGAATTGAGATATAAGATGATCTTTATTGTTTTGCAAACTAAGTTGATATTTATACTAAATTAAAAAAAGTTACACACAAAGTCTGTGTGTACCTGGCACCTGACAATGAAAAAAAAAAGGGGGGGAGCTTGCTTCTTTTATACTGACGCTGAAAGCTCACGTCTGGGCCACACTTCTTTATATAAAGACGCTGATGGTCTCACGTCTGACATTTAACTAACATTGAATTCTTATATATGGTGAGAAAATCTTAGTATTGTCAAATTGTGGTTTCTTTTAAATATATCACATTTTCATGGGTAAGAATGTAATGAATTGAAAAGTTTGAAATTGATTTGATCGAATTGACGATTCCCAATAACGGAAAATAATTTAGTTAAAATGTAATGGCAGAAGGTTCTTTAAACTATTCCGGTAATATGAGTATTGCTGGTTGCTGGCTAGCAAATTCAGAGTGAATTCTTTTGGAGTTGTACTGTATAAACGTGCATTCAACTACTATCAAGGTAAGCTCTAGGCCATGGTATGGTATAGCACCACGGAGGTTTCATATATCGGATACTGGAAAATATGAACACAAAAGCGCCATCGTAGTTAATCAGAGATTAAAGGCTCTTCTTCCAAGAACATAGCGTATCTGATCAAGTGATTTCTTGTTTGCTATTTGGCTATGGATTGCGTGATATGTTGTTTCAAGGCAACACTTGTTGGTATCATTGGCCTTGAGGGGGTTATACCGTAGTCAAACGAAGGTGAATGGCCATTACAGTCAAGCATTTAATTCAACTGTTGTTAGCATTAATTTATATAAGGTTTTATCTAGGGAGGCGAAGGTGCAATACCAAAATAGTATTCAAGCATCTGGCCCAATACATGATAACAGCGATTTTAAAGGTGGTTTTACCGTAGCGAAGCCAAAATGTAAAGGCTTGGTGTTTAAATAGCATATTCGGTTTCTCATTTCCATTATCATTTTGAACTGGTTTTACAAGCTCATCGTCTATCAATCCATGACCACTGGGAAAGAATTGTACCTGTGGAATACATCCACTATGATCTGCATTCCGACAGTTCGTCCAGTTACCAGATTTAGATATAAACTATATGTACACTGGATTAGATGTACGATATCGATTTATACTGTAAGAAGATATGGACTGCAGATACGCTACTAGTACTATAAGATTCATACTATATAAGATATAGGCTATAGATGGCACCACGGACATGAATGGCGCTATAGACTTATACTTGTATTCCGACATTGACTACGGATGTTTACCATATCTGGATAGGCACCAAGATTAATGCAATATGAGCTTGTTGCTTCAGATGTGCACTTTATGGTCCACGCTATAAGACACATGCTTATATCCGTGATACTAGCTACAGATACTTTATGTACTACAGATCACTAATCTAAAATATATATACTGGAAAACTATGAAAAAAAGTAGGCAAGCCAATCGTATCCTTTAAAAGTTTGATAGTATTGAAAGCCAGAACAAAGGTGGGCATAACCACCGGCGAAACCGGCAATGGGGAGGGGGTTTGGTGGAGGGGCATGGCCTCTCCACCAAGAACATAGCAATGCATCTAACTTAACACTTGATGACATTGATTTATAGGGAAGGTTTACCTTAGCGAAGCAAAGGTGTAAAGAATCTAATCAAATATTAGGTAGTATTGAGGTATAGGGGGGGGTATACCGTAGCAAATCAAAAGTGCAAGGCCAAGGTAGTTATGCGTCTAATCCAACACTTGGTAAACATTGATCTATATGAGGGCTTGATTGTAGCGAAGAGAATATGCAAAACCATAGTATATAGTAGTAAGCAGCAATTTTAAGTTTTTATTTCAATTGTTAATAAGCTTATTGCCAGCAACATAACACATCAAAATTTGCATGAATTAGCTTTGACAAAATCAATATGCCTCGTATTCGAATTAAAAATTGCACAGGCTGCGCAACTACCCTTCCGGAAAATTTCAGCAACCCAAGATGTAATTCATGAAGTGTAAATAAAAGCCATAAAGCAAAAATACAGCCAAATTTGACAACTTTCTAGCCTTCGTATCTCGACATGTAGACCTTTTTGAGCCACCGGAATAATGCCAAACAATTGTGTTTGAGTAGTAGTAATTTCCTGGCACCTTTGCTCAATTTTTTAAAGACCCAAAAAACATGGTCAGAAATCGACCAAAAAGCATGAGGAATACCCCATGATTTTCTTTGAAAATCAAACAATCGCATCTTTCACCTTGAAAATGAAGACTTTTACTATGGTACATAATAAATCAAAATGTTTCTCTCAACCCAAAGCAACTTTTGAAACCATTTTTATGAGGTCTTTATATGCAAAATTTCGACATTTTGGCCAAAAACCTTATTTCAGATTTTTTGGAATTGCTCATTAAATTCAGTCAAAACATCTATTTTACTTGGCATCGTTGGAAGCGCCTTGAAAAGTACTCCTAGAGGGTATTAGGAAGCGTAGGATGGTCATTACAGATTATATAGTCGAATGTCATAAAATAGATGAAAGAAGTCGAAAAAAGCCAAAATCTGTGCAATCTTGAACAGAAAAAAATAATCTGAGTGTGAATCAATTTTGGCGGCGGCATTGCTGCTGGCTGACCAAAATTCCTTTCTGTTAATGGCAATGATGATTGCGATGCTGATTAATTGGGGATCATGAATTTGAAAGAACAATCGATTAGCTTGAATCCTTTTTTATTTGGTTGTTTTGCGAGTTTTTCCCTATATAGGTGTCTTTTGCAATGATAACCTCTCAAAAAAATTGCTGTAGATTTCATAAAAGTCCTGTGTTTACGCATGGCCAGCTCTGTGTCGCCATCTCAAGAGCAGCATCCGCGAATGGTATCACAGTTCTGTCGCCAGAAAATGCAACTCGAACGGAGGATGTAGTAAACCAGAAGTCTTATAATAATATAACGTAAATGCTTCATAAAAAATATTGATTTGTACCTCCAAATTTCTGACGTTTAAATCAGGCTTCATGCCTAATATAGTCATTGTTTAAAATGTACTTTTATAGCAGAGTTTTACTATCTCTTCTGATTTGAAACGTCTTCGGTGAGAGCCCGCAGGGCGACGCCGTCATCGAGCGTAGCGAGATAGATCGGCTAGTACTTTATATACTACAGACTTGTAGTATATATGACACATGCTGTAGACATGCATACGATATTCTATAGACATGCCATATATCCAGATACATGCTAAAGATGTATGCTCAGAGATATACGCCCAGATGTGTACTATTGATATAGACTAAGGAGACTGTACCTATCGGATACATGCTACTGGATCGATATTAATTATCATTATAGAAAGGATAGATCAGGATAGATCAGGGTACTTTGGATGAGAGTTTAATTATTCATCCAGGCAAAGCTAAATCATGATTAGACATTAGTTGATCTGAGTTGACTTATTTGTTAATCTAATTAATAGAACTTTTATCCATTGTTATAGTATATAAGATGGATCATCTACCAAGCCAGTAGAGATACTTCAGTTTACTTTAGACCTGTCAGTTTGATAATAAAACATACCTTTATCAAGTTGACATTACTGTTTTTTTATTCTTTTTTTTCCGTGAATTTTAGTCTATCAAGCCTCAAATTCCACACTGACAACACTCATCGATGCTGTTGACGAGCCAAGCACTTTATGGCCTGCTATTTTTTGAAAGTAGATCAACTGATAGCTAAGCATACCGCTCTTCTTGGGCGAGAAAGCAATCCGCTTCGTCTCTGACACTTGTTTCCGTAAGAGGCGGCCGTCAGAAGGGGGAAGCGGCTTCGATTTGCAGATCCTTCCATCGACTGAAAGCTAAAGACGTGAGGCAGCTATCCGACGACATGTGGGTCAAACATGTATTTTACTGAAGTTAGTCGTTGATCTTCTCGCTTTTATTATACCGTTTACCGACGCATATAAATGTATAAAATTTTGGGTTACGAATATTTAAAAATTTCGATGTTTTCATACGAGAGCATTTTTCTTTGAGAAGGTCAAGGTGCTCACTTGAAAGCATTAAATAGGATTCTACATAAAGACATCTATGTTCTCGAGAACACTTGCTGGGTCGTAGTGCCATATCAACAGCCGATATGGCTATGATGGCGATCTGTCAATTGAGCTAATAAAGCTGCTTCTGCCATACCCCAAATTTAATGAAGGCTAATTCTCATTGTAGCATTTTTTTTTAATAAATAAATCTTAATCAATATTGCACGGTTTGAACAGCAAGAAACAAAAAATAGAGTCAATTGTTACCATATTGTAGACTACTACCGGATCTAATAGTACCAGTGGCCATGTATTTTGCAGATCAACGAATGTCATAGAGATTATAAACAATCAGACCCATTATATACACCATATAAATTACAGATTCATGATGTCAAATCCGCTCAAACTCATTTAGTCATGCTCAGATCCAGCATAACTGAAAGTATCTAGTCCAACTTTATTTAGACTTACCGACGACATATCTAATATTTGTTAATAATTTGAAAGTAGCAATTTATTAAGGTGATTGAGTATAAATAATGTAGCTGTAACAACAACGTAAATATCGCTTTGCTAAAGTAGTAGCTAATTTATCAGAAATAAATTATTTATAAAAAAAGAGTATGAAATTAATCAGGTAAAGAATATCGTTTATTACATTGAAAATAAGAGGGTTTATATACTATTCGAATTGAGGGATTTGATGTGAGGATAAGGTATTAGATGGGTTGATTTGGGTGATAGGATAATAGATCCAATCCATTATCCTGAACATGCCATGATATGGATCGTAACTGAATCCTGTTTCATGTCAAAGTTTATGATCTGATGTGACCGGTGCTTGAACTGCTTGTTTCTACGCATTTGGAGATCCGGTTTAGAAAATGATACATCACTACCCCACACCAGCTTGGAGACCCTAGGTCGATAGCGAAACCATAAGATAGCAGCTCTTGATTAGTGCTTGTGATGTAAGTGATAAACCGTGAAAAAAAAAGAAAAGAAAAAAAAAGTATGTTCCCTATGCTTTCATATGAAGTTGCTGCATGATGGAATCATTGACTCGCCAGTAAAAACCTCTATACATTGAAAACCAAACATGCCAATTGGAAAAAATACCAATGTAGTTTACAAGGGAAAAAGGCAGAATCTATTGACAAACATCTATAAAGATGATGGTTGTCTGTTCTCAATCAACCGCGCATGTCTCTTTGTAGATCTCTCTTCACGCGTTGCAACCGATCTTTTGTTGATTGATTTAGGTACTCTTTGCCTTTTACCAGAGCTCTTTTCAGGTGCTCCTACTCTCACCCAGTACTGTTTGATAGGTTGTCTTGAATCAAACAACTCTGGAGTTTCCCATGAATCATAACTACAATCGTAATCCTTCCAAGTAACGAGATATTGATAGTTAGGCGCTTTACCCTTATGTTTGAGGATAGCCTCAACTTCATAACGTTTATCAGCGGGTTCTGGAGGAGGTGAATTTTCGTTCATCAATTTAATGTGAGATGTAGGAACATCTCTTGATAAGAATGTATCGGTTTCATCTTTTAGAATGTAACTGCCATTCTTTGTATAACCATGAATATAGAACACGCCCTCGTATTTAGGGTCAGTTTTACTGTTCTTACTTTCTACATTCTTAATCATGACAGAAGCTCCTATGGGGAATGGGTTCTTTAGAATTTTGTGTCGCTTCATAAAATAAGCATTGTCAGCTTTCTGTGATTCGACAATCTGCTCCTTGATTGCAGGTACAAGAATTTTGTCAATTCTCTTGATCTTGTCTTTCAAGGCCTTGGCATTTAATGTTTGTTCTGGAAGACTCATTTCAACATCAGAATAGTCTTTTAATTCATTAGGAAGCCTGGCAAACATGACAACAAATGGTTTCATGCCGTGTAGCCTTGATTTATGTAAATTTAAGCTATAGTCTGTGCCATCAAGATACAAATCCCAATTTTTGGCACATCCATCCAGCATGTTAATGACGATGGTCTTTGGGCTCTTGACCGCGGCTTCACAAGCGCTGTTGCCTAACAGGCACCATGGAAGTGAAAGCCTTTGCTCTATCTTTGCATTGGCAGCAATGCTCTCTAGTAATTGAGAACTGAACTCCTTACCTTTATCATGAGAAAGGATTTTTGGGTAACCAAAAAGACTAAAAATAGAGACAATTTCTTTAGCAACTGTTGTTGCAGTTTTGTTTGGAAACGCCCGTAATACAATGAATCTTGAGAATAGATCCATTGCAACCAAGATAAAGTTGTTACCTCTAGGAGTAGTAACATCAAATGTGCCTACGTCAAAAACCCAATGATCTCCAACAGAATCCGCAGTATGATTCTTAGGTGGATGATATACATGTCTTCCTATGTTAAATACCCTGCATTTGCTACAGTTCTTGACATATCGTTCAATATCTTTTCTGAGCCCTTTCCAATGCATTTGGTAATCTTCATGTATAACCTGCTCCATAGCAGTGATTCCATAGTGTCCTAAAAGGTGAGATTTTTCTAATAGTTCTTGCTTTTGTTCTTCACTTTTAGGTACTTCATAAATGTCCAAATGTGATGCATAAATGCACAATTCTTTATTGTCCTTGCTGTCAGAATTTGCAGTTTCTGTGAGTGCACTGCTTATTGTGTTACTGTTTGTACTTTCCTTATTAGCATTATTCTCAGTATCATTGATTTTGGTACCCTGAGTACTCGGATTGAAAGGCTGTAAAATAATGTCATTTGCTTTGATACCCTTCTTTTGCTTCTTAGCTTCATGAAGGTCTTTATCATTTGTAGGCTCGATTGGATCTAATATCCGTTTAATAACAGTAGCTCTTCTAGCGAGAGAACCACACCCCTCCAGCTTCTTTGTACCAGGTACAAAGATGCGAGAAAGTCGATCTGCTAGAATATTGTCCATACCCATACAGTATGTGATATCAAAGTGAAATTCAAAAATTGTATCATAAAAGCTCTCAATCATACGAGTAAGTTTCTCTTGAGAATGTAGGTACAATAGACCACGATTATCCAAGAATAAATGAAACTTTTCACCCCGTAACCATTGGCGAAACTTATTGAAAGCATAAACCACTGCCAAAAGCTCACGCTTGGATGACCCATAGCGTTGCTCACTGGCAGATAGTTTACGGGCGATGAAGCCATTATAGTAAATACGCTTTTTGATAACTTGATATAAACAGGCACCAATGCCATATGAACTAGCATTAGTGACAAGGCAAAATGGATAGGCTAAATTAGGTGCTGGAATGATAGGGCTTCTAACAGGCAATTGTTGAATGTTGGTCATGGCAGTTGTATGATCCTCTGTCCATACCTTGTCAATATCTGGAGTATTTTTAATGGCATCCAATGGTGCGGTTAAAGTAGACAAACGAGGTAGATTGCTACTAGAGTAATTTACCAATCCTAACCGAGATTGAAGTTCTTTACTGTTAGCGACCTTTGGATCCCGATCTAAAATATTGCTTACTTTACGAGAATCAAAGGCCAACCTTTTCTCGGATAGGCAAAAGCCCAATATATTAATGCTACGCTGAGCAAAATGAGTCTTTGCGTGATTTATCTTGAGATTAGCCTTTTTTAACCAATCAATAACTATTTTGACGTATTTTAAATGTGTTCCCATGTCTGCTTCTGTGTACACCGTGTGCACCGTGATATCGTCTATAAAATTGGTGGTGACAGAGCTTAGATCAGAGAACAAATTAGTCAGATACCCTTGCACAAATGAGCTAATTGGTAATAATCCCATGGGGGCAGTTCCTGAAGCTCCATTGCAGGCCAGTTGTTGGATCAATAAATGAAACATATTTGCGAGAAGCGCTTGCTAGCCTAAAACTATGGAAACATTGTGAAAGATTCAACACCGAAAATATAGCGTGTTCTGACATCTTTCTATGTAATGTGCTAATCAAAGGTAGTGGGAATCGATCGGATTTGTCTGGATCTAATGCAGCATTGACAGCTCTGCAATCCACAACTACTCTATAAACACCAGGAGCATACTCACCAGTGCCAGTCTTTTTACGTACACAGAATATAGGTGAGTTGTATGGCGTTCCAGGTGGTGCTGGTTGAATGACACCATTCCTAATCCATGTAGCCATTTGTTCCTCAATAGTTGGTGAAAACTTTTCTTCCAGGGGCCATTGAGGTTTATACATTTTGTTTTCATGATCTTTCAATTTATGCAACTCTAGGGTACTACCTGATATATTGCAATATGCCTTAGGATCAATGTTTTTGTTGGCCTCAATGTACGGTTCAATTTCTTTCATGAACTGAGCTCTCTCTGCCTCTGTACCATAAGGAGAATCATTAGGAGTGTAGGGATCTGGATAAATTGTAGGAATCTCAGGGTTATTATCATCATCCCAATCCATCGCCATGTTGGAGATTGTAATGCCAATTTGCATGATCAAATCCATACCAATTACCACATCAATGTTACTAAAGATATCAAAAATCTCAAATTTAGAGTAACATTGGCGAGAATTATATGTAATCTTAATGTCTTCTTCTGTAGAACCAATTCTATCAATAACAGTGTCCTTTTTACAAGCTTTAATGATGCCTTTAATGTCTTTATTTATTTTCACTTCTAATATTTTGGCTAACTTGGGGGGAGAGACAACTAAATGGGGAACCTGTGTCCAAAAGAAAGTAGGTTCGAACCTTGATGTCGTTGCCCTCTAAAGTAATTGGCAAAATAATAGAGTTTTTGTTTAGTAAATTGCGAGGTGGTTCATTCATGTATTGATACTCACAATCTTTAATGCTCATGGCTGCGAAGGTCATGTTCTGCTCGTCGGATTCCGTATCTGTATCCATATTGTCATCAGAGTTGTAATCAGTCTGCTGATTGGGCACAGGGACGATCGTCTTCTTGACGACCTTACTTCGAAATCTTGGTTGATTATTCTTCATCTTGCACACGGCCCTGTGCGCTGGAGTCCATCCTGACTCCTTGCAATCGTGACAAATACGAGTGTTGACCTCACCAAACTTCCTTTGTGCCTCATCGATTCGTTTTTTCATGCTGTCAGATGCTTTGCAATCCTTGGTGCGATGATTGTGGGCATTCGGATGATACATGCATCGTTTGGGTGAGTGACTGGTGACCTTGGTGTTTAGAATAACGAAATATAGACAGAGTAAATACAATTAGAACTGAATATATTTATTATGTTATTCCAAGATTGAATAGGGATCAAAACTAGTGTAGATGTCAAAGGTATTTATAGTTATTTGACAGTGCCGCAGCAATATGACCTTGATCTTGAATGCGGGATAATTGTATAAGCCTTGAACCAGTTAACGAGGATGTGCTGCATCAGAACTCATGAACCACCAGTCAAGGATAAACAACAAAGATAATCCAGAATAGAATGTTCTTCCTAATAGCTTCGACGGAAGAACATTTGTCGGAATTGAAACCCACTTCCAGGGACGAAAGGCCATAGGCTACCACTCTCCAGGAACCAGGATATAGATTAGCCATTTGATGGCACCACTCATGTTCCTTCGTGCTGCTTGAATAAAGACCTCTCACTTCTACTATGCATCTCAGCTCATTCTCAGATCCTCTTATGTAATATACGACGCCTAATACATTTGCCTCTCAGAGATGATCTATATCCTAAACACTTGCTAGCACTATTGTTATTCAAAATTGAGGCGGAGGATGTTACTGGAGTTGCTTTTTCACGTTCTCTTTCCCACTTGTCCTTAAACAGAGCGTTGTAGATAGCTGTTATCTTGTTGGCCACCAAATCCACGGTGATCTCCTCCTTATTAGAATTGGTATTGAGAGAATACTTGGTGTAGTTCGCCAACTCTTCTGGAAGGGCCTTGATCAAATAACGAACGATACAATCCTCATCCTGGATTTCAGCCTGATTGCGCAATTGTTGGAATTTGTCCACAAATTGATTGAAAGCCTCTCCTTGTTGATGCACTAGTCGCTCCAACTGCTCTCTTGCCGCATCTCTCATATCAATGCTTGATCGACCATACTTGTTGATAACTGCTGTACGGAATTCGGACCAAGTTAAACGGCCTTGTTTAGCAACCATGCTTGTATACCAACAAGCCATTTCAGTTGATAACTTGGCTGGTATTGTGGAATTTGAGGCTTGATAGACTAAAATTCACGGAAAAAAAAGAATAAAAAAAACAGCAATGTCAACTTGATAAAGGTATGTTTTATTATCAAACTGACAGGTGTAAAGTAAACTGAAGTCTCTCTACTGGCCAGGTAGATGATCCTTCTTATATACTATAACAACGGATAAAAGTTCTATTAATTAGATTGACAAATAAGTCAACTCAGATCAACTAATGTCTAATCATGCTAAAAGACAACTCCAGCAAGCTAATCATGATTTAGCTCTGTCTGGATGAACAATTAGACTCTCATCCAAAGTACCCTGATCTATCCTTTCTATAAGGATAATTAATATCGATCTAGTATCATGTATTATCCGATGGGTATAGTCTCCTTAGTCTATATCAATAGTATATATCTGAGTGTATATCGCTGAGCATACATCTTTAGCATGTATTTGGATATATGGCATGTCTATAGCATATCGTATGCATGTCTATAGCATGTCTCATATATAGTACAAGTCTGTAGTACATAAATATCTATAGCTAGTATCACGGATATAAGCATGTGTCTTATAGCGTGGATCATAAAGTGCACATCTGAAGCAACAAGCTCATATTTCATTAATCTTGGTGCCTATCCAGATATAGTCAACATCTGTAGTCAATGTCGGAATACAAGTATAAGTCTATAGCGCCATTCATGTCCGTGGTGCCATCTATAGCCTATATCTTATATAGTATGAATCTTATAGTACTAGTAGCGTATCTGCAGTCCATATCTTCTTACAGTATAAATCGATATCGTACATCTAATCCAGTGTACATATAGTTTATATCTAAATCTGGTAACTGGACGAACTGTCGGAATGCAGATCATAGTGGATGTATTCCACAGGTACAATTCTTTCCCAGTTGTCATGGATTGATAGACGATGAGCTTGCAAAACCAGTCCAAAATGATAATGGAAATGAGAAACCGAATATGCTATTTAAACACTAAGCCTTTACATTTTGGCTTCGCTACGGTAAAACCACCTTTAAAATCGCTGTTATCATGTATCGGGCCAGATGCTTGAATACTATTTTGGTATTGCACCTTCGCCTCCCTAGATAAAACCTTATATAAATTAATGCTAACAACAGTTGGATTAAATGCTTGACTGTAATGGCCATTCACCTTTGTTTGGCTACGGTATAACCCCCTCAAGGCCAATTATACCAACAAGTGTTGCCTTGAAACAACATATCACGCAATCCATAGCCAAATAGCAAACAAGAAATCACTTGATCAGATACGCTATGTTCTTGGAAGAAGAGCCTTTAATCTCTGATTAACTACGATGGCGCTTTTGTGTTCATATTTTCCAGTATCCGATATATGAAACCTCCGTGGTGCTATACCATACCATGGCCTAGAGCTTACCTTGATAGTAGTTGAATGCACGTTTATACAGTACAACTCCAAAAGAATTCACTCTGAATTTGCTAGCCAGCAACCAGCAATACTCATATTACCGGAATAGTTTAAAGAACCTTCTGCCATTACATTTTAACTAAATTATTTTCCGTTATTGGGAATAGTCAATTCGATCAAATCAATTTCAAACTTTTCAATTCATTACATTCTTACCCATGAAAATGTGATATATTTAAAAGAAACCACAATTTGACAATACTAAGATTTTCTCACCATATATAAGAATTCAATGTTTGTTAAATGTCAGACGTGAGACCATCAGCGTCTTTATATAAAGAAGTGTGGCCCAGACGTGAGCTTTCGGCGTCAGTATAAAAGAAGCAAGCTCCCCCCCTTTTTTTTTTCATTGTCAGGTGCCAGGTACACACAGACTTTGTGTGTAACTTTTTTTAATTTAGTATAAATATCAACTTAGTTTGCAAAACAATAAAGATCATCTTATATCTCAATTCTATTCTTTTATATACATTTATCTAAGTCTACTCTAAAACTATACCTATACACACGACACAGGTGCACACAGACTTTGTTAGTAACTTTTATAGTTAATATGAATATCAAAAATAATAAAGGTTATTTTTTTTTCTCACTTATACTGCTGAGACATATACATTTATCTAAATCTGTTACTTATACTCACAACACCATTAAATAAAAAAAACACTTTGTAACATTCTATGCGGAAACTTTTTGATAATTTTACATTTATCTGCCAGTAACTTTTAAACGAATCAGCTCTAGTACACATTCAAAATAACATTCATATATTACGAACTGTTCAACAACGCGATGGCATAGTAAAAGCGAATATAGTACCACAAAGTTTCGAGAACCTAATTCCACTACAGTAGCAGTTTATGAAGATTATTATCTGCAGTCTGATTGGATTATTTTGTATATTCCACACGGTCATCAAGCGATTGAGAAACAGTATCTAATGAATATTGTGGCAAACATTGTATCGTATAGTATTAAAAGACATTTTTTCATGTATGTTATCTTTTTACTATCTCATGCCGTGCAATAGATAGCATCCTATTAATGAAATTAAACAGTATGGGCCCGCTTCTGCAACAAAGGCAACATAATAATGTGTGCTACTCTTTGGGGTATTCAATGCATGCATCTTTAATAAACTCAGTGAATTTGTAAGCCATGTCTTTCTACGTGTTGTATTCACATATAATCCAGTCCAGCCTTTCATAGTATTGATCTATACGAGGGCTTGACTGTTGCGAAGCGAATATGCAAAATCGTAGTATCTTAGTAGTAAATTCGATTTCTCTCCTTCTTTATTAATAATGGATTGTTTAAAACCTACATTTATAGCTGTGTTTTATTACTGTTAATGATTTGGAATGTCTACGGCGACAGCCCGCAGGGTGACACCGTCGTCAAGTGTAGTGATATTGCATCTAATTCAACATTTGTTGATATTAGTCCTGATCGAATATACCGTAGCCAAGCAAAGGTGTACGACTATAATGTTCAAGCAGCAAATTCGGGTTCTCATTTGCATTGTTAATAATAAGCTTACCAGCAACATAGGGCATCAAAATTCGTATGAATTAGTCTTACAAAATCAATATGTCTCCTGTTGAAATTACAAGCTGCACAGGTTGCAGAACTGCCCTTCCAGACGGCTTTAGCTACTAAAGATGTGGTTCATGCTGTGTAAATAAAAGCTATAAAGCATAAACATAACCAAATTTGACAGCTTTCAATCCTTCATATCTTGACATGTAGACATTTCTGAGCCACCGGAATAACGCCAAACAATTGCACTTGAGTAGTAGTAACTTTCTGACACCTTTGCTCAACTTTTTGAAAACCTAAAAAATATGGCCAAAAATTAACCAAAAAGCATGAGGTACCCCTCATGGTTTTTTTACGAAAATCAAAGGATCGCATTTTCCGCCTTAAAAATAAAGACTTTTACTATGGCATATATCAAATCAAAATGTTTCTCTCGATCCATAGCAACCTCTGAAACCACTGTTATGAGGCTTTCATATACAAAATATGGCTATTTTTGCTAAAAATCTCATTTCAGATTTTATTGAATTGCTCAATAGTTTCAATCAAAACACTTATTACAGTTAGCACCATCGGAAGCGCCTTGAAAAGTACTTCAAGAATGTATTAGGAAGCGTAGGGTGATCATCACAGTTCATATAGTCGAATACCAAAAGATAGATTAAAGAAGTCGAAAAAAGGCGAAATCTGTCCAATCTTGAGCAGAAAAAAATAAGCTGAGGTTGAATTAATTTTGGCGGCGGCATTGCTGATGGCTGACCTAAATGCTTTTCTGTTGATGATAATGATGATTGCGATGTTGATTAAATGAGGATCATGGAATTGAAAGGGTAATTGCTTAACCCAAATACTTTTTTGGGTGCTTTTGTTACAAGCGAGCCTTTTGCAATGTCAACATCTCAAAAAAAAAAGTCGCTGTAAATCTTACACAAGTCCTTTATTTACTTATGACCAGCTTTATGTCGCCATCTTATTAAGAGCATCAGCAGCAGTGAATGATATGACAATTCTATTATCAAAAAATGGCATTTGTGATATACAAATACTGCATAAAATTTGAATTTCTTTCGCATTGTCCCAAAAATAGGCTTTGTTTAATATCAGCGTAAGCAAAAAGGATACTAAGGGAGATACCTCCTCTCCTCCTCCTGGCTCTGATACAATCTTTCTGTTACTAACTAATAATAAATTGTTTAAAATCTACTTGATATACCAAAATGTTATAATGTCTGATTTAAAACGGCTTCAATGAGAGCCAGCAGGGCGACGCCGACATCGAGCGTAGCGAGATGAATGGGCAAGTAATAAATACTGGAAGCCTTGAACATAAAAGCGTCGTAGTAGCAAATTAGAGACTGCAAGCCCTTGTCCCAAGAACACACTGCATCTAATTTTAATAATGTTATACCTGCTATACTTAGCTGTGGATTAAGTGATTTGTGGTGTCAAGGCAACATTTGCTAACCTTGACCTTAAACAGGTATAATAACCCTAAGGAAGCAAACGTGGAAAGCCATAATAAAGCAGTAAATTTGGTTTCTTATTTTCATTTGATGCATTTCACATCATAATCCATTATATTACACCTAATACAACCCATCAACATCCCATCGGTTTTTACATACACTACTAAACGCACATCAAACTACAGTCTACACGCACATCAAGACCCAACAAATAGTCAACTAGTAGGATGACTATTACTGAAACAATACCATTTAATTCAATGACATACAAGAACGGTTACAATTACACTTAACTGTAGATTATCTACACATATCATTTACGAAAATCTACTGGATCATCACACTTGTCTTTACACCTCAGGATTTGACAATATTCACAAAGATATAAATGGGACCACACAATTCATTCAGTAAAGGATCGTCTTAATTTTGCACAGAATGATAAACTGATAATTTACTGATACATTCATTTGTATGACTTTAGTTATCTAGCACCTTGTTGAATATATCAGCTTGTAGCTTATAAAATTTATATTTTTCAGCAAATTTATAAAGAAAACGTACATCTGGTACTTGAAACCCTTACATTATAATGGATATAACGTAGAGCTATTGAATGGTCTTTGTGTTGTGCGAATCCGGTTAGTATTTGTCGAGGTATGTTCAGAAAAGGGTAGCATGCAAAATCATTGATTTTGCTTCAAAATCTGCCTGTGATAGCAAGCAAAAAATCTGGTGACCTTTTTTTGGACAGGACAATATTGTCAATATTTCATGATAGAGTTATGCCAGAGCTTCAAGCAATAGCTCATTCGGTAGGATATGTTCTGGTCTACAATGATTAGTAATGCTTAACAATATGTTTTGATGACAGATTGTAGTTAATCTTTAGAAAGCAGTCAAAAAATCGCAAAAACAATTGTACCAAATATTTGGTGAACAATGTACACCAGAGACTTGATATAAATACCATTGTATTCTGCTTTGAATTCTCTACAAGTTTCATATAAGTTTGAAAGGGTGTTTACTATCAAGAATCAAATAGTTTTAGGTCGATAATAGATTTAGAAAACTCATGGACCATCATCCAGAACAATAAAGATTCAATCTCCGTTTGGCCTTCGCATGTGTACTGATGTATCATTTTCTAAAGCGGATCTCCAAATGCGTAGAAACAAGCAGTTCAAGCACCGGTCACATCAGATCATAAACTTTGACATGAAACAGGATTCAGTTACGATCCATATCATGGCATGTTCAGGATAATGGATTGGATCTGTTATCCTATCACCCAAATCGACCCATCTAATACCTTATCCTCACATCAAATCCCTCAATTCGAATAGTATATAAACCCTCTTATTTTCAATGTAATAAACAATATTCTTTACCTGATTAATTTCATACTCTTTTTTTTTATAAATAATTTATTTCTGATAAATCACTTTTTAATCTGTATTCAACAAATCTCGTTTATTACAAATCTATCTACTCTGGATCTCTTACTGCTATCAAGTCTTACTTACTATGTCACCAAAGAAATTCAATCACAAGGCCGTCAATCAAAAAGCTCCTGGTGAAACTAATACTGGTTAGGTTACTGTTGCTGCTGTTGGTTTTATTACCTCTACCGATCAAACTCTCACTGCTGCCAATCCGGTAGTTTCTGCTGCTCCTGTCGGTACTGATGCTCAAGGCTCAATTGCTGCCACTCTAATGGAGATTGGTTATCCTATCATCACTGCTAGTCAAGATGTAATCAATGGTGGTTCATCTGCTAGTTCTTCCAGCGTTGGTATTATCCATAGGGATTTACCTAGAACGTCTGTTTCAACCGATGGTATCAATGGTGATGCATCTGGTAATTTTTCTGTGCCTGCTGAGATTCATGGGAGTCAAACAGGCAGTGTCAGTGCTAGTAGTAATATTTACGGGAATACTGCTGCTTCTGTAGGTGATGCGAACGTTGACAATGCATCTACCACCTTTTATCATATTCCAGTACCTCAAGGTAACTACAATACTGAAAATGTTAGTAGAGGGAATAATGATGTACTTACAAACCATGTGGATATAGAATTTGCCACCCCAATCTCAAGTGATGAAAGATTGACCTTGATGAACGAAATTGAACGGCTGAGGCTAATGGTTTTCAAAACTATTATTCAAAGCATTGGATGTCCACAAGGATCAATCAATCATACCTTCAAATCTTGGTGTCTTGCGTAATCAACTTGAGATGGCTGAACGCACCTATGAATTGGTATTTGGAAAGACAGGGAGTACCTTGGTACCAAATGAAACACCCTATTTTCAATGGCGTGGACACTTCTTCAAGAAGCGTAGAGCTGTATTCGCAACACCAAACGATTGTCTCGATCATTTTGAACTGGTTTTACAAGCTCATCGTCTATCAATCCATGACAACTGGGAAAGAATTGTACCTGTGGAATACATCCACTATGATCCGCATTCCGACAGTTCATCCAGTTACCAGATTTAGATATAAACTGTATGTACACTGGATTAGATGTACGATATCGATTTATACTGTAAGAAGATATGGACTTCAGATACGCTACTAGTACTATAAGATTCATACTATATAAGATATAGGCTATAGATGGCACCACGGACATGAATGGCGCTATAGACTTATACTTGTATTCCGACATTGACTACGGATGTTTACCATAACTGGATAAGCACCAAGATTAATTCAATATGAGCTTGTTGCTTCAGATGTGCACTTCATGATCCACGGTATAAGACACATGCTTATACCCGTGATACTAGCTACAGATATTTATGTACTACAGACTTGTACTATATATGAGACATGCTATAGACATGCATACAATATGCTATAGACATGCCATATATCCAAATACATGCTAAAGATGTATGCTCAGCAATATACACTCAGATATATACTACTGATATAGACTACGTAGACTGTACCTATCGGATAATACATGATACTAGATCGATATTAATTATCCTTATAGAAACGATAGATCAGGGTACTTTGGATGAGAGTCTAATTATTCATCCAGACAGAGCTAAATCATGATTAGCTTGCTGGAGTTGTCTTTTAACATGATTAGACATTAGTTGATCTGAGTTGACTTATTTGTCAATCTAATTAATAGAACTTTTATCCATTGTTATAGTATATAAGAAGGATCATCTACCTGGCCAGTAGAGAGACTTCAGTTTACTTTACACCTGTCAGTTTGATAATAAAATATACCTTTATCAAGTTGACATTACTGTTTTTTTATTCTTTTTTTTCCGTGAATTTTAGTCTATCAAGCCTCACATTCCACAGATTCAACAACTGGCCTGCAATGAAGCTTCAGGAACTGCCCCCATGGGATTATTACCAATTAGCTCATTTGTGCAAAGGTATCTGACTAATTTGTTCTCTGATCTAAGCTCTGTCACCACCAATTTTATAGACGATATCACGGTGCACACGGTGTACACAGAAGCAGACATGGGAACACATTTAAAATACGTCAAAATAGTTATTGATTGGTTAAAAAAGGCTAATCTCAAGATAAATCACGCAAAGACTCATTTTGCTCAGCGTAGCATTAATATATTGGGCTTTTGCCTATCCGAGAAAAGGTTGGCCTTTGATTCTCGTAAAGTAAGCAATATTTTAGATCGGGATCCAAAGGTCGCTAACAGTAAAGAACTTCAATCTCGGTTAGGATTGGTAAATTACTCTAGTAGCAATCTACCTCGTTTGTCTACTTTAACCGCACCATTGGATGCCATTAAAAATACTCCAGATATTGACAAGGTATGGACAGAGGATCATACAACTGCCATGACCAACATTCAACAATTGCCTGTTAGAAGCCCTATCATTCCAGCACCTAATTTAGCCTATCCATTTTGCCTTGTCACTAATGCTAGTTCATATGGCATTGGTGCCTGTTTATATCAAGTTATCAAAAAGCGTATTTACTATAATGGCTTCATCGCCCGTAAACTATCTGCCAGTGAGCAACGCTATGGGTCATCCAAGCGTGAGCTTTTGGCAGTGGTTTATGCTTTCAATAAGTTTCGCCAATGGTTACGGGGTGAAAAGTTTCATTTATTCTTGGATAATCGTGGTCTATTGTACCTACATTCTCAAGAGAAACTTACTCGTATGATTGAGAGCTTTTATGATACAATTTTTGAATTTCACTTTGATATCACATACTGTATGGGTATGGACAATATTCTAGCAGATCGACTTTCTCGCATCTTTGTACCTGGTACAAAGAAGCTGGAGGGGTGTGGTTCTCTCGCTAGAAGAGCTACTGTTATTAAACGGATATTAGATCCAATCGAGCCTACAAATGATAAAGACCTTCATGAAGCTAAGAAGCAAAAGAAGGGTATCAAAGCAAATGACATTATTTTACAGCCTTTCAATCCGAGTACTCAGGGTACCAAAATCAATGATACTGAGAATAATGCTAATAAGGAAAGTACAAACAGTAACACAATAAGCAGTGCACTCACAGAAACTGCAAATTCTGACAGCAAGGACAATAAAGAATTGTGCATTTATGCATCACATTTGGACATTTATGAAGTACCTAAAAGTGAAGAACAAAAGCAAGAACTATTAGAAAAATCTCACCTTTTAGGACACTATGGAATCACTGCTATGGAGCAGGTTATACATGAAGATTACCAAATGCATTGGAAAGGGCTCAGAAAAGATATTGAACGATATGTCAAGAACTGTAGCAAATGCAGGGTATTTAACATAGGAAGACATGTATATCATCCACCTAAGAATCATACTGCGGATTCTGTTGGAGATCATTGGGTTTTTGACGTAGGCACATTTGATGTTACTACTCCTAGAGGTAACAACTTTATCTTGGTTGCAATGGATCTATTCTCAAGATTCATTGTATTACGGGCGTTTCCAAACAAAACTGCAACAACAGTTGCTAAAGAAATTGTCTCTATTTTTAGTCTTTTTGGTTACCCAAAAATCCTTTCTCATGATAAAGGTAAGGAGTTCAGTTCTCAATTACTAGAGAGCATTGCTGCCAATGCAAAGATAGAGCAAAGGCTTTCACTTCCATGGTGCCTGTTAGGCAACAGCGCTTGTGAAGCCGCGGTCAAGAGCTCAAAGACCATCGTCATTAACATGCTGGATGGATGTGCCAAAAATTGGGATTTGTATCTTGATGGCACAGACTATAGCTTAAATTTACATAAATCAAGGCTACACGGCATGAAACCATTTGTTGTCATGTTTGCCAGGCTTCCTAATGAATTAAAAGACTATTCTGATGTTGAAATGAGTCTTCCAGAACAAACATTAAATGCCAAGGCCTTGAAAGACAAGATCAAGAGAATTGACAAAATTCTTGTACCTGCAATCAAGGAGCAGATTGTCGAATCACAGAAAGCTGACAATGCTTATTTTATGAAGCGACACAAAATTCTAAAGAACCCATTCCCCATAGGAGCTTCTGTCATGATTAAGAATGTAGAAAGTAAGAACAGTAAAACTGACCCTAAATACGAGGGCGTGTTCTATATTCATGGTTATACAAAGAATGGCAGTTACATTCTAAAAGATGAAACCGATACATTCTTATCAAGAGATGTTCCTACATCTCACATTAAATTGATGAACGAAAATTCACCTCCTCCAGAACCCGCTGATAAACGTTATGAAGTTGAGGCTATCCTCAAACATAAGGGTAAAGCGCCTAACTATCAATATCTCGTTACTTGGAAGGATTACGATTGTAGTTATGATTCATGGGAAACTCCAGAGTTGTTTGATTCAAGACAACCTATCAAACAGTACTGGGTGAGAGTAGGAGCACCTGAAAAGAGCTCTGGTAAAAGGCAAAGAGTACCTAAATCAATCAACAAAAGATCGGTTGCAACGCGTGAAGAGAGATCTACAAAGAGACATGCGCGGTTGATTGAGAACAGACAACCATCATCTTTATAGATGTTTGTCAATAGATTCTGCCTTTTTCCCTTGTAAATTACATTGGTATTTTTTTCCAATTGGCATGTTTGGTTTTCAATGTATAAAGGTTTTTACTGGCGAATCAACGATTCCATCATGCAGCAACTTCATATGAAAGCATAGGGAACATACATTTTTTTTCTTTTTTTTCTTTTCTTTTTTTTTCACGGTTTATCACTTACATCACAAGCACTAATCAAGAGGTGCTATCTTATGGTTTCGCTATCGACCTAGGGTCTCCAAGCTGGTGTGGGGTAGTGATGTATCATTTCTAAACCGGATCTCCAAATGCATAGAAACAAGCAGTTCAAGCACCGGTCACATCAGATCATAAACTTTGACATGAAACAGGATTCAGTTACGATCTATATTATGGCATGTTCAGGATAATAGATTGGATCTATTATCCTATCACCGAAATTAACCCATCTAATACCTTATCCTCACATCAAATCCCTCAATTCGAATAGTATATAAACCCTCTTATTTTCAATGTAATAAACGATATTCTTTACCTGATTAATTTCATACTCTTTTTTTATAAATAATTTATTTCTGATAAATTAGCTACTACTTTAGCAAAGCGATATTTACGTTGTTGTTACAGCTACATTATTTATACTCAATCACCTTAATAAATTGCTACTTTCAAATTATTAACAAATATTAGATATGTCGTCGGTAAGTCTAAATAAAGTTGGACTAGATACTTTCAGTTATGCTGGATCTGAGCATGACTAAATGAGTTTGAGCGGATTTGACATCATGAATCTGTAATTTATATGGTGTATATAATGGGTCTGATTGTTTATAATCTCTGACATTTGTTAATCTGCAAAATACATGGCCACTGGTACTATTGGATCCGGTAGTAGTCTACAATATGGTAACAATTGACTCTATTTTTTGTTTCTAGCTGTTCAAACCGTGCAATATTGATTAAGATTTATTTATTAAAAAAAATGCTACAATGAGAATTAGCCTTCATTAAATTTGGGGTATGGCAGAAGCAGCTTTATTAGCTCGATTGACAGATCGCCATCATAGCCATATCGGCTGTTGATATAGCACTACGACCCAGCAAGTGTTCTCGAGAACATAGATGTCTTTATGTAGAATCCTATTTGATGCTTTCAAGTGAGCACCTTGACCTTCTCAAAGAAAAATGCTCTCGTATGAAAACATCGAGATTTTTAAATATCTGTGAGCCAAAATTTTATACATTTATATGCGTCGGTAAACGGTATAATAAAAGCGAGAAGATCAACGACTAACTTCAGTAAAATACATGTTTGACCCACATGTCGTCGGATAGCTGCCTCACGTCTTTAGCTTTCAGTCGATGGAAGGATCTGCAAATCGAAGCCGCTTCCCCCTTCTGACGGCCGCCTCTTACGGAAACAAGTGTCAGAGACGAAGCGGATTGCTTTCTCGCCCAAGGAGAGCGGTATGCTTAGCTATCAGTTGATCTACTTTCAAAAAATAGCAGACCATAAAGTGCTTGGCTCGTCAACAGCATCGATGAGTGTTGTCAGTGTGGAATTTGAGGCTTGATAGACTAAAATTCACGGAAAAAAAAGAATAAAAAAACAGTAATGTCAACTTGATAAAGGTATGTTTTATTATCAAACTGACAGGTCTAAAGTAAACTGAAGTATCTCTACTGGCTTGGTAGATGATCCATCTTATATACTATAACAATGGATAAAAGTTCTATTAATTAGATTAACAAATAAGTCAACTCAGATCAACTAATGTCTAATCATGATTTAGCTTTGCCTGGATGAATAATTAAACTCTCATCCAAAGTACCCTGATCTATCCTGATCTATCCTTTCTATAATGATAATTAATATCGATCCAGTAGCATGTATCCGATAGGTACAGTCTCCTTAGTCTATATCAATAGTACACATCTGGGCGTATATCTCTGAGCATACATCTTTAGCATGTATCTGGATATATGGCATGTCTATAGAATATCGTATGCATGTCTACAGCATGTGTCATATATACTACAAGTCTGTAGTATATAAAGTACTAGCCGATCTATCTCGCTACGCTCGATGACGGCGTCGCCCTGCGGGCTCTCACCGAAGACGTTTCAAATCAGAAGAGATAGTAAAACTCTGCTATAAAAGTACATTTTAAACAATGACTATATTAGGCATGAAGCCTGATTTAAACGTCAGAAATTTGGAGGTACAAATCAATATTTTTTATGAAGCATTTACGTTATATTATTATAAGACTTCTGGTTTACTACATCCTCCGTTCGAGTTGCATTTTCTGGCGACAGAACTGTGATACCATTCGCGGATGCTGCTCTTGAGATGGCGACACAGAGCTGGCCATGCGTAAACACAGGACTTTTATGAAATCTACAGCAATTTTTTTGAGAGGTTATCATTGCAAAAGACACCTATATAGGGAAAAACTCGCAAAACAACCAAATAAAAAAGGATTCAAGCTAATCGATTGTTCTTTCAAATTCATGATCCCCAATTAATCAGCATCGCAATCATCATTGCCATTAACAGAAAGGAATTTTGGTCAGCCAGCAGCAATGCCGCCGCCAAAATTGATTCACACTCAGATTATTTTTTTCTGTTCAAGATTGCACAGATTTTGGCTTTTTTCGACTTCTTTCATCTATTTTATGACATTCGACTATATAATCTCTAATGATCATCCTACGCTTCCTAATACACTCTAGGAGTACTTTTCAAGGCGCTTCCAACGATGCCAAGTAAAATAGATGTTTTGACTGAATTTAATGAGCAATTCCAAAAAATCTGAAACAAGGTTTTTGGCCAAAATGTCAAAATTTTGCATATAAAGACCTCATAAAAATGGTTTCAAAAGTTGCTTTGGGTTGAGAGAAACATTTTGATTTATTATGTACCATAGTAAAAGTCTTCATTTTCAAGGTGAAAGATGCGATTGTTTGATTTTCAGAGAAAATCATGAGGTATTCCTCATGCTTTTTGGTCGATTTCTGACCATGTTTTTTGGGTCTTTAAAAAATTGAGCAAAGGCGCCAGGAAATTACTACTACTCAAACACAATTGTTTGGCATTATTCCGGTGACTCAAAAAGGTCTACATGTCAAGATACGAAGGCCAGAAAGTTGTCAAACTTGGCTGTATTTTTGCTTTATGGCTTTTATTTACACTTCATGAATTACATCTTGGGTTGCTGAAATTTTCCGGAAGGGTAGTTGCGCAGCCTGTGCAATTTTTAATTCGAATACGAGGCATATTGATTTTGTCAAAGCTAATTCATGCAAATTTTGATGTGTTATGTTGCTGGCAATAAGCTTATTAACAATTGAAATAAAAACTTGAAATTGCTGCTTACTACTATATACTATGGTTTTGCATATTCTCTTCGCTACAATCAAGCCCTCATATAGATCAATGTTTACCAAGTGTTGGATTAGACGCATAACTACCTTGGCCTTGCACTTTTGATTTGCTACGGTATACCCCCCCCCCCTATATCTCAATACTACCTAATATTTGATTAGATTCTTTACACCTTTGCTTCGCTAAGGTAAACCTTCCCTATAAATCAATGTCATCAAGTGCTAAGTTAGATGCATTGTTATGTTCTTGGTGGAGAGGCCAAGCCCCTCCACCAAACCCCCTCCCCATTGCCGGCTTCGCCGGTGGTTATGCCCACCTTTGTTCTGGCTTTCAATACTATCAAACTTTTAAAGGATACGATTGGCTTGTCTACTTTTTTTCATAGTTTTCCAGTATATATATTTTGGACTAGCCGATCTATCTCGCTACGCTCGATGACGGCGTCGCCCTGCGGGCTTTGGCCGATTACAATAAAACTGGTTAAATCAATAGTTATAAAGGGTAAAAAAGAATATAGAGTAGTTATATTAGGTAGTATCTGAAAATAGAACTTCAGGATACACCACATTTTCTGTGTGTTTCATATTTTCGGGTAATAAAATGGTCATGCCATTGGCAGATGTTGCTCTTGACATGGCAACATAGAGTTGGCCATGAGTAAATACGGGACTCCTGAGGTCCACGGCAACTTTTCTGAGAGATTGACCCTGCGACTTGTTGATGGTCATTGCGAAAGATACTTTAACCGGGAATTGCTTTCTGGTCAAAATGAATGGCAATGTGCCAGGCAATGTAGACAAAGTAAAGCGAGGAATCAACTCGACAGCACCTGACCCTCCGAGGATTTTCACCTTGAGGACATACTGTCCAATTTGCTGAATGATCAGCCTTGTGCCATTGCACAAACCTCTTTCAGGGTTGAGGTTTCTCAAGAGCATGACAGGAAGACCTACTTTCAACTCCAAAACTGCTGGCGGCAGCCCTGAAGGCGAAAGGGTTTGCAAATACTCTGAGGGATAGGCTTGGGTCTCCGTGTTGGTCAGATCAGACTGAGCTGTGTCAGCAGAGTACAGAGTGACCTTTTCCCCAATCACGTTCTCCATCACCTTGCTGTTAATAGCATCAACGTTGACGTTCTTTGAACAGAGAATAGCTCTTTCCTTGAAGAAATCACTATTTTGCAGAGGACACTGCAGAACATGCTGAGGATAGATATCTTCAATGAACTGATCAAGATCAGTCATCTGCCTCAAAAAAGAGGGCAAAGCAATGCTGCCAATCATGGATGGTTCATACGACATTTTTCCTATCCAATCTGCAAATTGCCTATCTGTGTCATTGGAGTTGGCAAGTCTCATATTCTCAGTCAGGCTCAGCTTTTGTAATTTGGGCCATAATCTTGACGATTTCAGTGAGGCATTGACGATTTCAGGACGGCCACCTTGCCTAACAACAGGTGGAATTTGAGCAAAATCACCGCCAAGAACAACAGGAATACCACCAAAGGTAACTTCATCACCACGACTACAAATATCACGAAGTGTTCGATCAAAAGCTTCAAAGCAATATCGATGCTGCATTGGCACTTCATCCCAAATTATCAATGATGTCTCTCGAATGAGATCAGCAAGATCATCGTTTTTCTTGATTGCACACACAGACTGCTCGTGGATGTTGAGTGGAATGGCAAAGCGAGAGTGCGACGTACGCCCACCAGGAAGTAGCAAAGCAGCAATGCCAGAGGAGGCAACACAGAGAACAATTTTTCCTTGGCTTCTATAAAAGTGACAAAGAGTATTGTAAATGAAGGTTTTGCCAGTGCCAGCTGGACCTTGCAAAAAGAAATGTGAGCTGTTGGCGTTGCTGTTGATGGAGGAGGTGATGGTCTCAAATATGTGCTTCTGGGTAGCGTTCATTTGAGCGTACTTTTGCTGGTACGAAAAGGCTTCTTGATCTTGGAGATATGACATTTCATTGAGTATCAATGAATTGCGTTGTATGCCAGTCATTCTGCTTATCAAGCCATTCCAGTTGAAGAGAGGCAAAGGCAAATTGAACTGACCTAGAGATCTGTCTTGTGCACCAAGAGATGTTTGCAACAGATATAAGCCGTAATCAAGACTTCGCGTTCCATGGTAAAATTCAGCGTCAGGTTGCACGCTGAGCAGCAGCGAATACCCTTTTTGCACGATTGCATGCTCAAGATCATCACAGAAACTTTCACAGAATTGATCCCAAATCTGAACAGGCGATACCAATGAGTTGAACATGAGCGCAGAGACAAACATTGAACGCATTGCGTAGCCAGAGGCAAAGGTAGCAGCTTCTTCAAAGGCTCTGGTCCATTCTCCATCATCTTCGATCAAATGCAGCATCATACAGGCCTCGCGAAAGGTGGCGTACTCGTGATTATTGACAGTTCTCAGATGAGAAAACGACGTGGCTCCTCTGACAACTGTGAGCAGCAGACGCAGATAATACCTCTCACCGGCAGCAGGATTGCAGTAATACATGCGCCCAATTGACATTCTACTCGAAGACCTAGGCTTCCACTTTTTTGCATTCTGCTGCCAAGTCATATGTTCAGGGAACTCTTGATAAAGCAACGGTCGAAAACCGGGTTTGCCGTGATTTGCATGGTTGTAATGAAAGTAAGCCATCAAAGTAGAGCGACTCTCTCTCAATACTTTGTCAATTTTCTCCTGTGGCCATTGGGGATCAAAATAAACAGGTTGCTCGTTTTCAAGATGCACAGCAAGTGGAGTAACAGATGGGCTTTCCTCATGCATTGGGAATTCAAACAACCTCCATGCAGCTTCAACAGGACTAATATAACGGCCATTTAGATACTTGGCCACTTCGTTATTCTGAGTTGTTGCTGTGGTAGTGGCATTTGCTGTTTCAGTGGCTGTGGTGGTGGTTGTAGTTTTGAGCGTTGTCTGATCAGAGCCTTTGTAAATATACTTGTTGATGTACTTGATTGCCTGGACGCTACCACATACTTCGACATTTACATGGGCATTGTATTTTTTTGACAAATAAGGGTTGTATGGCACCACCCACTCATTCGTCATGTGGAAATCGCGGTAGACACCCAACTTGTCCTTGACGCGCACCTGATGAGAACGACCATCTCTTCTTCTTCTATAAGTAGGATAACCATCAGCACTGGTCACCGTTACTGGCTGGTAGTTTTTGGGAAATTTCTTTGAGCATACATCATTGCCAAAAGCATCTTGTACCATACACGGAGACTTTGAGTTTAGCTCGCCACATGGGCCATGCATCATATTGCGAGTGATGATTGCATGCAATTCAGGTTCTTCTTCAACATTTGGGATCTCAGCGCAAATGATCTGATCAATCCTCTCTGGCGTATCAAATCTATCTGTTTCTGCATCCAAAAACAATAGCATATGACCGTGAGGGAGACCACGCTTTTGATACTCAATAGTCCTTACAATGCCTTTATAACAGCCAAAGACCTTTCTGTCTTTCAAGTCTTTAAGCAGCTCTCGGTGCTTAAGGTTGAATACTCGAGCAACCAAGTCGGGGCGATCAGCGGCTGTTTGGCCTGGCAACAATTCATCTTGGATCTCCCTCCAGTTTGGGTTGGCAGTAAATGTGATGAATAACGTTGGCTTACCAAAGAATCTAGAGATAGCCATTGCATTTTGATATAGCTGCATCATGAATCGCGGTCCACCAGTGAAGCTACTGGGCAAGATGAACGTCTTTCCCACCTGTTCGAGGTCTGAGTCAGCAGCAGAGGTAGCATCAGCAAGTCCTTTATACACATCAGCGCGAAGATTCGTCTGATTGACTTTGATCCAGTTCAGTTTTGTTTGCTCACAGATTGCCCAGGCATCAATCACATATTGTTGAAATAGACGTCTTGACAAAAAAATGATCTTTGACTCGTTGTTTCTAACATGCAATCGAAATCTGTAGAACACGCCTTGGGTAAGTCGGCTATCTGACACTTGTTGTTGTTGCTCTGCTGGTGTCTCATCTTCTTCGCTCTCAATAATCATGGCATCAGCAGTTTGCGCTGACGATTGCAGTCTTTGGCCCCAATTCCACCCATATTCACCTCTAGGAAAAAGCAAAGCATAATGAAGAGGCATATATGCAGCATGCGTCTCATTGATACGCTTAAACTGGCCTTGAGCCCTGGCCGAGGAATTGCTACGATATGTGATCAAAATATCTCTGAAACTCCTGTCAGAACACTCGTTTGGAATGATGGCAGCAATCTCGTTGACAGTTGGCAGATTTTGAGTGCGTCTGTCCTGGCCAACAACCAATTCCATTTGCATCTGAGGACTGAGCCTGATGTGAGCATTCTCGCTAACACCATCTTGAGCTTGCCTCTCCTCTTCTTCTTTCAGGATTTCGTGAGCATGTTTGTAGATGCTTACAAATGGATTGCCACAAACTACAGGATCAGCAATCATTTCACTCAGTTGCTCAATGATCGTGTCGTCCAATCCTTGATTTCTGGGGTCTGCACAGCGAATCGCAGCGGCATACTCTGGGTCGTAAACGTACAGCTGGCTATACTTTGGCACATTGCTCAAATTTAGTGGTGCTTGCAAGTGATAGAGTTCCCCATGAACACGAACCGGCGTGATGCCGCCTCTCATCTCATTCTCTCTATCCCTTTGGAGCTGCTCAGGCGTAGCATCGGTGCCAAATGATGTAAATGCGAACAAAGTGTTGTATTGTCGCATGTGCTGCAAAAAATGAGAGGATCGAGGATGGCTTCCGTTGATCAAGCTATTTAAAGGCTCGGGAGGCTCTTGCAAAAGGGGCAAGACAGCTCTACCTTTTTTGCAGCAAGCATGAAAGCAGTTGTCGTTTACTCGCTGTTGAACAGCCCTCTCTGCGGCCCAATGCAAAGCTCCACATCCATCACATTGGTTGTCCATTCTGCCCAAATCTGAACGTTGTACTCTTCCAAGTTCTGATACAAACGCTGCAGGTGCTCTTGGTGTTCTTCGATTCGCCAATCTTCTTTGCCTGGCGTAATTTCGCGCTCGTTCCTGAATTTGAGTACAAACAAAATAAACCATTGCGTCTCAGGGTTTTATTAGGCGTTAAAAGCCATTTTACTTACTCGACATGAATCACATTTCCGATAAGCATAGTCTACTGGAAGAGCAGCTCTACAGGTCGTGCAGTGTCTTGTTTGAATAGTAGGAGGCATATTATTACGTACGTATAATAACAAAAAGCAATGTATCAAATTTTTTTTTTGGTGCCTTATATTCTTGGTGGAGGGGCTAAGCCCCCTCCCCCAAACCCCCTCCCCATTGCCGGCTTCGCCGGTGGTTATGCCCTCGTTTGTTCTGGCTTTTAATACTATTAAATTTTAAAAGGATATGATTGGCTTGTCTACTTTTTTTGAATGTTTTACAGTATATATATTAGACTAGCCGATCTATCTCGCTACGCTCGATGACGGCGTCGCCCTGCGGGCTTTGGCCGATTACAATAAAACTGATTAAATCAATAGTTATAAAGGGTAAAAAAAAATATATAGAGTAGTTATATTAGGTAGTATCTGAAAATAGAACTTCAGGATACACTACATTTTCTGTGTGTTTCATATTTTCGGGTAATAAAATGGTCATGCCATTGGCAGATGTTGCTCTTGACATGGCAACATAGAGTTGACCATGAGTAAATACGGGACTCCTGAGGTCCACGGCAACTTTCCTGAGAGATTGACCCTGCGACTTGTTGATGGTCATTGCGAAAGATACTTTAACCGGGAATTGCTTCCTGGTCAATATGAATGGCAATGTGCCAGGCAATGTAGACAAAGTAAAGCGAGGAATCAACTCGACTGCACCTGACCCTCCGAGGATTTTCACCTTGAGGACATACTGTCCAATTTGCTGAATGATCAGCCTTGTACCATTGCACAAACCTCTTTCAGGGTTGAGGTTTCTCAAGAGCATTACAGGAAGACCTACTTTCAACTCCAAAACTGCTGGCGGCAGCCCTGAAGGCGAAAGGGTTTGCAAATACTCTGAGGGATAGGCTTGGGTCTCAGTGTTGGTCAGATCAGATTGCACCGTGTCAGCAGAGTACAAAGTGACCTTTTCCCCAATCACGTTCTCCATCACCTTGCTGTTAATAGCATCAACGTTGACGTTCTTTGAACAGAGAATAGCTCTTTCCTTGAAGAAATCACTATTTTGCAGAGGACACTGCAGAACATGCTGAGGATAGATATCTTCAATGAACTGATCAAGATCAGTCATCTGCCTCAAAAAAGAGGGCAAAGCAATGCTGCCAATCATGGATGGTTCATACGACATTTTTCCTATCCAATCTGCAAATTGCCTATCTGTGTCATTGGAGTTGGCAAGTCTCATATTCTCAGTCAGGCTCAGCTTTTGTAATTTGGGCCATAATCTTGACGATTTCAGTGAGGCATTGACGATTTCAGGACGGCCACCTTGCCTAACAACAGGTGGAATTTGAGCAAAATCACCGCCAAGAACAACAGGAATACCACCAAAGGTAACTTCATCACCACGACTACAAATATCACGAAGTGTTCGATCAAAAGCTTCAAAGCAATATCGATGCTGCATTGGCACTTCATCCCAAATTATCAATGCTGTCTCTCGAATGAGATCAGCAAGATCATCGTTCTTCTTGATCGCACACACAGACTGCTCGTGGATGTTGAGTGGAATGGCAAAGCGAGAGTGTGACGTACGCCCACCAGGAAGTAGCAAAGCAGCAATGCCAGAGGAGGCAACACAGAGAACAATTTTTCCTTGGCTTCTATAAAAGTGACAAAGAGTATTGTAAATGAAGGTTTTGCCAGTGCCAGCTGGACCTTGCAAAAAGAAATGTGAGCTGTTGGCGTTGCTGTTGATGGAGGAGGTGATGGTCTCAAATATGTGCTTCTGGGTAGCGTTCATTTGAGCATACTTTTGCTGATACGAAAAGGCTTCTTGATCTTGGAGATATGACATTTCATTGAGTATCAATGAATTGCGCTGTATGCCAGTCATTCTGCTTATCAAGCCATTCCAGTTGAAGAGAGGCAAAGGCAAATTGAACTGACCTAGAGATCTGTCTTGTGCACCAAGAGATGTTTGCAACAGATATAAGCCATAATCAAGACTTCGCGTTCCATGGTAAAATTCAGCGTCAGGTTGCACGCTGAGCAGCAGCGAATACCCTTTTTGCACGATTGCATGCTCAAGGTCATCACAGAAACTTTCACAAAATTGATTCCAAATCTGAACAGGCGATACCAATGAGTTGAACATGAGCGCAGAGACAAACATTGAACGCATTGCGTAGCCAGAGGCAAAGGTAGCAGCTTCTTCAAAGGCTCTGGTCCATTCTCCATCATCTTCGATCAAATGCAGCATCATACAGGCCTCACGAAAGGTGGCATACTCGTGATTATTGACAGTTCTCAGATGAGAAAACGACGTGGCTCCTCTGACAACTGTGAGCAGCAGACGCAGATAATACCTCTCGCCGGCAGCAGGGCTACAGTAGTACATGCGGCCGATAGACATGGTATCGGTTCGTCTTGCTTCCCACCTTTTTGGCTTCTTTTCTTTCCAAGTCATATGCTCTGGGAATTGCTGGTAAAGCAATGGTTGAAAACCAGGTTTGTTTTGATTCACGGCATTATAATGAAAGTAACCCATGAGCGTGGTATGACTCTCTCTCAGGACATTATCAATTCTTGATTGAGGCCAGGAAGGATCAAAATATACAGGCTGCTCATTTTCAAGATGAATAGCAAGTGTAGTGACAGGTGGGCTTTCCTCATGCATTGGGAACTCTTTCAACCTCCAGACGGCTTCACACGGGCTGATATAACGGCCATTCAGATATTTGGCACATTCATCATTCTGATACATTGCTGCAGTACCAGCTGTTGCGGCTGTTGTCGCGGTAGTCGTGGTTTTCAGAGTAGTCTGATCAGAACCTTTGTATATATACTTGTTGATGTATTTGATAGCCTGGACACTGGCGCATACTTCCACGTTGATATGAGCGTTGTATCTCTTTGATAGGAATGGATTATACGCTACCACCCATTCATTTGTCATATGAAAGTCGTGGTACACGTTCTGATCATCTTTGATGCGTATTACATGAGAGCGGCCATCCATTCTTCTACGATAGAGTGGATACCCATCATCAGGGACTATGGTTGCTGGCTGATAAGGCTTTGGGAACTTTTTTGAGCAGACGTCGTTACCGAAAGCATCCTTCACCATACAGGGAGATTTCTTGTTATAACCACCACATGGACCGTGCATCATGTTGCGGGTGACAATTGCATGTAGTTCAGGGTCTTGATGAACGTCTGGAATTTCTGTGGAAATAATCTGGTCGATCCTCTCTGCCGTATCAAACCGGTCATTTTGGTTATCCAAGAACAACAGCATATGACTATGCGGGAGGCCGCGCTTCTGGTATTCGATTGTTCTCACAATCCCTTTATAAGCACCAAAGATTTTCTTTTGCTTCAGGTCTTTGAGTAATGCGTCGTGCTTCCGGTTGAATACTTCAGCAACCAAATCTGGGCGATCAGCAGCACTTTGGCCAGGCAACAACTCATCTTGGATCTCCCTCCAGTTTGGGTTTGCAGTAAACGTTATGAATAACGTTGGCTTACCAAAGAATCTAGAAATAGCCATTGCGTTTTGGTACAGCTCTGCCATAAACCGGGGACCACCAGTGAAACTGCTTGGCAAAATAAACGTTCTACCCACCGTTTCAAGATCTGTATCAGAAGCACTGATAGCATCAGCAAGACCTTTGTAGACATCAGCACGGAGAGTCGTTTGATTAGCCTTGATCCAGTTTAACTTGGTTTGTTCACAAACAGCCCAAGCATCGATCAGGTATTGCTGGAATAGACGTCTCGAGAGGAACAGGATTTTGGATTCACCATTCCTGACATGCAATCTAAATCTATAGAAGGCACGCTGGGTAAGCCTGCCTGTTGCTCGACGTTGTCCCTCTTCTTGCGCTTCTTCATTGTCAACATCCATGGCATCAACAGTTGAAGCAGGCAATTGCAAACGAAGGCCCCAATGCCACCCATATTCACCTCTGGGAAAAAGCAAAACGTAATGGAGAGGCATGTAGGCAGCATGCGTCTCGTTGATCCTTCTAAAGAGTCCTCTGGAACTGGTGGAGGTGCTATTTCGATAGGTAATCAGGATGTCTCTGAAACTTGAATCAGCATATTCATTGGGGATAATAGCTGCAATCTCGTTGACAGTTGGCAAGTTCTGAGTACGCCTATCTTCACCGACAACCAATTCCAGTCTCATTTGAGGATTGAGTCGAATATACGCATCCTCGCTGACATGATCTTGGGCTTGTCGTTCTTCCTCTGCACTCAGAATTTCGTGGGCATGCTTGTAGATACGTACAAATGGGTTACCACAACGAACCGGGTCATCAATCATTTCACTTAATGCTTCAATGATTGAATCATCTAAATGCTGATTTCTGGGGTTGGCAGATCGACATGCAGCAGCATACTCGGGATCGTAAATGTACAGTTGATTGTACTTTGGAGCATTACCAAAATTCAAGGGTGCTTGCATGTGATACAATTCACCATGGGCACTTACTGGAGTAACTCCACCTCTTCTCTCCTCCTCTCCTTCTCTCTGGGCCCCTGCTGGCGTAGCAGTGGTACCGAATGAAGTAAAAGCAAACAAAGTATTGTATTGCCTTATATGCTTCAAGAAATGGGATGAGCGTGGATGGCTTCCGTTGATTAAGCTATTCAAGGGCTCAGGCGGATCTTGCAATAAGGGCAATATGGCCTTTCCTTTTTTACAGCAAGAGTAGAAGAGATTGTTGCTTCTGGATTGACCGGTAGTTCTTGCTGCGTCCCAATGCAATGCGCCACAACCATCACATACAACGTCCATTCTTCCCAGATAATGAGGTTGCATTCTTCCAAGTTCTGATATGAAAGCGGCAGGTGCTCTAGGTGCTCTAGGTGGCCTTAATGCAGCTCTCTGTCTGGCGTAGTTTCGGGCACGTTCCTGAAACAAAAATATATATATAAGGTTCGTTCGAATGTTTGTTTTTCATTTCTTTTCTATTTACTCGACATGAATCACATTTTCGAAAATTGTAATCTTCAGGTAGAGCAACTCTACAGGTTACACAGTTTCTAGCTTGAACAGG